CTTTATTGGAAATAACTACATACTCGTGTGAATCAACTGAGAAAATGTCTACGCAACGACGTCACAATTAAGAGCTTAATTGTGACGTCGTTGCGTAGACATTTTCTCAGTTGATTCACACGAGTATGTAGTTATTTCCAATAAAGTACGTTTCACTATAGTTAAACAAAATATTAAAAATATTGCTTATCTAAAAATTAAGAGCTTAATTGTGACGTCGTTGCGTAGACATTTTCTCAGTTGATTCACACGAGTATGTAGTTATTTCCAATAAAGTACGTTTCACTATTAAATATATAATATATTTTCTAAAACCGGGGTTGCGGGGTAAGCGCAATGAGGCACCGCGACCTCGGCCCAGAGCAGGAGAAGGAACAGGAGGGTTTTAGTCAGTAAGAGTCTGACACTGCCTCCCGCCCGGCCCTGGGCGGTGGGAAGTCACTTGATGATTTTCCCCTCACAAAAAAAAAAAACAATATAACTTTTGTCTGTTAATTCCCGTAAGTCGTTATTTTTATTAAATTTCGCATTAAAATTTAAACAAAATAATATGCTTCTTTATATTTGTCACATAATTGAACCAACTGTTTGAATAAGGAATCTGTATGTGAAACTGATTTAAAAAGAGCAACCATAGAGTTTCTTTTTGTTCTTCTCCATCGAAATCTGCACTTTGGAACCAGCAAATACTGCTTGCTGCTTTACTAAGAGGATTGACCGACTGACTGACACTTTATTTCTTTAGAATTTTTGTTTAACGATCAAAAGTGCCTGGTTTTTGAATGTATTTTGATGATTTTTATTGCCATTAAACCATTTCAGCTATTATTCAGCGCAAAGGTGCATAGGTATTCATTGTGAGTCTTATGAATAGTAGGAAAACTTAATATTTGCCAAACATCGGTGACCATTACAGTTTCTATGCTCACTAAGCTACAATTGAAAAAAAAAAGGAGGCGACCGTTTACATCTCATGACCCGTGAGGTGGTCCGAAGAGGAAAAGAAATACCAAAATAAACATAACAGCTGTTATTGATATTCCACATTTATTACAATATTAAAACTCTTCAACGCTTGTAGTTAACACACCAATGTTTTGTATTTCGCTACGTATGACATCACCTGGTTTAAGAAACTCTGGGGGATCGCGCATACCTCCTATTCCAGCCGGTGTACCAGTCAGGATAACATCGCCAGGATATAGCGTCATGACGCTGCAAAAAAACATGAATAATAATTAGCTCAAATTGTGGTTGAGTCTGGTCTAGTACATTAAAATTACAGAAAATTCTAATTACTGGTTTGTTCCTAATATTAATAATTAGTTTTCTTTTCCTTTGAATTGATATACTAATCACTTTTTGTCTGAGAGCGTATGGAATTCTGTGGTCATGTGGGCCCATCCACCATCAGCCATTCATATCGATGACTACCCTGATATCTCAGACCGACTGGACTATTTGGCACTGCGTAAAGATATGTCTTCTCTATCGCCTATACCACGGGGAGTGCTACGAGGAAATGTACCTACGGATCACCGTCACAACTTTTTAACCACACAGTGCGATTTTTGTGTAACTTTCTGCCTCGCACAGCAAAACTTTCGATGATCTTTCGGCGCAAATATTATCGAACCGACACGACTACTTTTAAAAAGTCCTTCATCGCGCTTCTGATGTTGAAGGTGTCCATGATTGGTGCTGATCACTTACCATGAGGTGATCGTTTGCCTTCTATTCAATAAAAACAGACAACTAAACAAGCAAAGAAACAGACATACTCACGTAGTTATTCTCTCCACAATAGCCGGTATTTTGTGTATCATTTGAGAAGTGTTGCCCTTCTGTTTCACTTCTCCATTAACACTACACAACATGGCCAGGTTTTCCACGTTCCCAGCTTCATCTGACGTCATTATGTAAGGTCCGAGAGGACAAAATGTGTCTTGTGACTGTCCAAAACAAATTAATATTGCGATTTAATAACTAAGTTAGTTATGGTTGTCAATTATTGAATGAAAGCTGCGAGTTTGTGTGTTACACATAATACTCGTATTATGTGTAAATTGAGGCTTATTTTTTAAAATCTTGTCGAGTGTAATGGTACCAGTGAAATTGTAGCCTGTGCCTAAATGTTTTTCCTTTGGTATCAATTAGTATGAACACTCAAAATGTAACAAATACGTGGGTATACTATTATTGACCTCTTCATAGTGATGGCAAGGTTTTTTTAAGAATGGGACAAGCCCGCGGCTGTCATCCAAAACTGCTGCAATTTCTGTAAACCATCCTTCATTAAATAAAACGATGAAAACACTGAACAACTAAAAAATTCCGTAAAATTCAGCACCATTATCATTAGACTGTTTCCGTCTACTGCTGCACATAGGCCTCTCCAGTCGCACGTGAATGACCTTGAAGTTCAATGACGATCAGCTCGATGTTGATAAAACTTTTTTTTAGTTTTCAATAATAACAGGTTACAGATATACCTTTCCAAGTAAATACTGCACACCATTTTGATTTAACATCCATTCTCTTTCAGTTATATCTTGAGCAACGGTGTAGCCAAATATGTACTTATGAGCATCAGCTGCTTTTACGGATGAGGCTTTCCTTCCTATCACAAAGGCTAGGTTTATTTGCCAGTCCACTTTCTAGAAGAAAAAGTCAAGTTAAAGTGGATGCCCGTAAAACTTCGTAGCATTCAATTTGCGAATTATAATAAAAGTGTTATTTAAAGTATTTGCTTAGAAAGAATTTTGATATAGCTATTATAAGGTATAAATAAAATGTGTTTCTCAATCCTATCTCTAGTATTTTTTTACAGAAATATGCTTTTGTAAACCAGAGACAAATGAGAAAGGGTATAGTATAATTTTGCCTTCTTACAACGGGACATAGTGGAGAGATTTCCTATCCTTACTATGGAGGCAGTTCCAAAACCACAAAAATCATCCCATAACATCATCAAAACGGAAGACATATTATACACAAGTGATATTATTTCATCACGCAAGCCACACCTACGCACTATGAATTACGGAGTCAATTTACTTCGATAATTGACCCCAATTTGCGTCGCTCTGAGGTCAGTGCAGACCTCCGTGATTCACTACGAATTTTTGACCTCATCTTTTAAATGTTAGAAGATGGAATAGGTCATTAAACTTGGGTATACGGAAGCAATTACTATTACACTTTGTTTTCTTGGATGGATTTGATCATTTTATTATTAAAATTTATTGGTTAGGCTGACAATAGGGTACTTTTTTGTTACTAAACATTTCTGACATTAAAGCAACATATAACACATACTTGTAAGTCACACACTTTTTAAGTGTGGGAGAGCCATTCTTTGGTACGAGTTGGTCGGCCTGACCGGAGATATCTACCACGACCTCACAGGGAACCGGCATAAAACAACCTCAATATTGTCTTTCGCCGTGTTAGTGAGGTTACCGGAGAACTATCTAAGAAACCTTATCCCCAAAAAGTCGACTACATACTCGTAACTTCACTGGTGTTGCGAGTGTCCATGAGCGTGCCGATTGCTTATCATCAGGTAATCTGTAGTGTGTGTGTGATGTGTTATTGTGATGGCAAACAATGCCATCACAAAAACACATCTTTAGGGCAAGGAATTGGTTAACAGCAAGAGGCGTTACCTCACAAACAGTCCTTATTCTAACAGCCTGGTTTGGTCCAATTATTGTGCTAGGAAATTTGCTAAAAATCCACGGTACGGAAGGTTCGTCCACACCAAGATCCTGGCAGTGGTCTGAGTAGTTATGGGCGACGCCTATAACCTTGTCTACTCCAGTGATGGGTGCTAATAATGTTACTTTACTTAGGTGTATGACTCTTGGATTGTTTTCTGGTAATCTAGGAAAAAATTAAACCTTTTTTAAGATGATTGGTAAATTCCGAAGATTAGCTAGGATTTTGGGACTGAACCCGCTAATCAAAGAACTTATAGGAGTACTAAATATCTACTGGGTCGGTATTGCTTTTAGCAATAGCATAAGTTATACTAGACTTCAAGGACTACCTAAGCATTTCTTTAAAGAAACCGGTTTACATTAGTCTTCTCTATAGATACACAAACACTCCTGGAAGAACTAATTAGTTGTTTCGCGTAAGAATCCCATGATTCGTTGTTACTTAATAATCTACGCCACAAACTCTTTATTGTAAATAATAAATTGCCTTACTGCCTAATTTTGTCAGCGATATCAGCCTTCAGTATCTCGATCATAGTTCTTGGCATGTCACAACCATGGCAGCAAAGGTCAACCACTCCAAACTGGTGTAAATATCCAACCCTAACTTCATTCGGAGTTTCGTTTCGAGCAAATTGAACAAATTTCATTGCTCTTTTTATTTCGTATACCTTATGAAAGAAAAAACGTTAGCTCTTTTCACCAAGTAATGTATTAAAACACATTTGGTAATATGAACACTGTTGTTCTAGAATGTTTTAAGTCTACACTCGTGTAATTTTAATTCATGTGATTACGTGTATTGATTTTGTATTACATTTTACTAATCGATGAACAGTAGTGCTATACTTATCTCTGACATAATGACACTTTATGACTATTCAAAAGATCTGTCACTATTATTAGGGAAACGACAAACAAGGTAAATAAAAACTTTTTGGTGATAATTAAACTGATTAAGAACGATTGAATTGTGAAAATGTCTTAAGACTTTTCAAGTTTTTAATAATCATTTTATTACTTAAATAAATGCCCCGTTCTAGAAAAAGGAACCGCGTCGGTACTGACATTTGACCTGGGTACCTCAGGGCTGCGTTCTTGGTCCAATCCTATACAGCCTGTACCTCATGTGCACTGCAGAATTTTGTCAGACTGGTAAAAAATAACATGTAGTGCATACTACACAATAACAAATAAAAAAAACTATACAAATATCATTTGTATATTTACAAATTTAATTTCAAAAAAGTATCTAAAAATGAGGTAGATTTACATTTACAGCAATTAATAAAATTCCTAATAAATATATGTATAGTAAACACACGATCCAAAGACCTATATTAAAAATATTTTGTATAGTTTTAACATTATTTAAATTGTTCAACTTTGACCACTAAAGTTCCAATCTTTTCTATTTCACTTGTAAGTACGTCGCCTGGCTTAAGAAATTCAGGTGGGTCTTGGTAAACTCCTACTCCTCCAGGAGTACCAGTGAGGATTAAATCACCTGGGAGCAATGTAATTACTCTGAAAAAATTGAGATTTATTAATAAGACTGTAATTTGTCACACAAAAGAAAAGTCAGTCAGTTAAAACGGAAACTCGTTTTAACCGACTCGTTCTTCTGGAACTAACGTTTTTTTTGGGTGGATCGGTAAATGAGCAGAGGGCACACCTAATGGTGGTGGCTACATAGAAGTGCGAAGACCTTAGGGGTTTGGGGGCATTGGCGATGCAGGGGAGGAAGGTTTAGTCTTCGGTAACCTCAATCACAGTACGAAACAGAAAGCAATCATTCTTTCTCATAGATTTTTCGTGAGGCCGTGGTGTCACTCAGGTCGATACGGTCCATTCTCGACGAAGCATGGCTCTCTCACACTATTTCTTTTTATGTCTGCCTTTAATAGGAACGCTTACACCCAGATCGATTTCGATTTTAAATGTAATCAAAATTATAATTGTTATAATAGTCCGGTAATCGTAGACACTTAAGTTCCTAGTAGGCTGAATTTTCGTTTATATCTTTAACAATCAACAACTATAACTATACCTATACCTATCTATATATACCTCGACTTGTATATAATACCTAACTAAAATGAGTAATCTATTAGGACAGGTCACAAGGTATATAACTATATATACTTACGTGCTAATCCTCTCAATGATGGCAGGTATCTTATAGATCAGATTACTGGTGTTGCTGTTTTGTTTCAGTTCGTTGTTCAAGAAACATTTGATGTTCAAATTGTGTGGTTCGCTGATCTCATCAGCTGTCACTATCCATGGGCCAATTGGACAAAATGTGTCTTGAGACTAAACATATTAAAGAGGATTTATTAAAATACAATATTACAGTTTACTAAAATGAGAACTTGAACTAAAGGTGGTCGAAAAGTGATTAATTATTTGTACGAGTTGGATAACGAGCTGACGGATCACCTGATGGTAAACAATTGGCGCCGCGTAAAGACACTAGTACGCTATTTTAGCAGTGGCTTGATACTCGTAGAAGGGCTAGGAGTATCAAGAGAGACGCTACGGCATTCTCTCCGCGACACTCCGGCCATTGGGGATCGAAGGACAATCTCCGGCCACCATAAGTACGGTTCTGTAGATGGCACATAAGGGTATCTCACCGCTAGACCAGATCCTACCTAGATATGCTGTTATAAGACGAGACGAAGCATAAGAACTGGAGTACCCGGAGCGAAAAAGTACCTAATACTTACGATGATTTTCCCCCACACAGAAAAATACACTTTTGCCATTTCATTAATGACACCGCGACCTCGGCACAGAGCAGGAGAAGGAACAGGGGGGTTTTTAGTCAGTAAGAGTCTGACACTCCCTCCTGCCCGGCCCTGGGCGGGAGAAGTCATTTGATGATTTTCCCCTCACAAAAAAAAAACCAGATGAAATTGTTAGAAAATATACAAACCTTTCCCAATAAAAATTGTCCTCCATTGGCTTCCTTCTGCCAGTCTCGTCCGCTGATGTCCTGAGCGACAGTATACCCGAATATGTATTTGTATGCGTCTGCAGCTTTCACGGACGATGCAGTCTTGCCAATAATCACAGCCAGTTCCACTTCCCAGTCTGGTTTCTACAATAGGAATATTATTTACTGACAGGGCGCAATAAGACACCGCAGCCTCGGCCTAAAGCAGGGGAAGGAACGAGGGACTTTTAGTCAGTAATATTCTGACACTCTCTCTTGCCTTACCCTGGGCGGGAAAAGTCATTTGATGATTTTACCCTGTCAAAAAAAAAACACGCAAGCGCCCATTTACCGCAGGCAAGCTCGGAGCAGGACATTTTAGTGGGGGTTTTTTTATACAGTAACAGTCTGAAATTCGCCCCACCTAGGGTGCAAAGAAGCAATTAGATGATTATCCTCCCATAAAAAACCAGTTACATTATGAATCCCATTAAGGTAAAAGAGGATGATCTCATTGGGCGTACTAGACACAATTCCACGCAATCTCTTGAAAAATGAAGAGACACAGAACAAGGAAGACCAGATAACAGACACTACATAATACAAAGCAATTACCTTGGTTACATCAGTTCTAATCTTAATAGCTTCATTAGGCCCAATAATGGTACTGGCGAACTTGTGGAAGACTACTGGTACTTTAGGCTCAGGTAACTTATGGTCTCTGCAGTGATCAGCGTAGTTTAGAGCTAAGCAAAGGATCTTGTCCATGCCATGGATTGGTGCCTTCAGTGTGACTTCTGAGAGGGGTATCACACTCTTTGGGTTTGGACTTGAAACCCTATAGAAATAAGTAGGTGAATAATTGAATGACATACCTAAGCAGCTATTTTATTGACAAGGTACTTAGTACGACGAAGGTTACCTCATTCTACAATTCGTTACTTTGTTATAGATATCACACTATTCTAAAAATACAATACGTAAAACAATGCTACGTTGTTTTGTCATGTGAGAGCTCCAATCTTCGGTGCCATACTCAATTCCCCTAAAACCTCCGTAATGCACATGTTCTGTTCTGCTCTGGTATTACTGTCATGATTTGTTTGCACGTGTCCTAATGATTGGTAAAAACGGGACAAAAAATAGGAGGTGCTCAACACAGTTAATCACGTAAGTACTCTATAAGAGACCCTAAAACGGAGGATAGCATTTCTAATCCCTCTAAGGGATGGAATTTATGAGGAATATTTGCCTCAACTGACTTATGTTAAAATAGTTTTTTAAATGATCAACAAAACACCAGATACTTAGTAAAAATCTTACATTGGAACGGTATTAGCCAAATCAGCTTTTAAAATCTCAATCATAGTTTTTGGTAATTTGCAATCATAACTACAAACATCCACTACAGCATCACCGTGCATGTATCCAACCCTCAGGCTATTCGGAGTATCGTTCGGAACAAATTGAACGAATTTCATTGCTGTTTTTGTTTTGTAACAGTAAAATGTAAGCACTTTCCACTGCGTATTGTAGGTGTCTTAACTGGTTTGTGTGGATTCCGGTCCGTTTATTTTGTAACGACTAGGCTTAGCATTGATTTTGTTAGTAAATTTTGTAATAGACCGTAATAGACAAATTTATTGAATGATCAGTGATCTGAAATCATATAACTGTCTGTCATAACAATAACATCTGTTCACAGATTATAAGACTAGTCAGAGACATCTGTTTACTGACCAAAAAGCAATACCTAAGTAAAAAAAGCAAGGTTTATAAGAAAAAAAAGTAAAACAACAAAATGGTAAAAAGTAAAACTAAATTCCGACCAAAGAGTCCTTATCCTGTTTAATATCACAAATTGGAAAGTGAGTTTGTTTGTTCCATTTACAATTTAAATAATAGGGTACTTTTACCCCGAAAAATAAGTTCCTGAGGAAAACCAAAAATATTGTTAGCTTCATACCAGTTCGGTGATAGATAGCGCTGTGTGTCCTTTAAAATAGGGTATAGTAAATCAGGGTGAATAGAATTCGAGGGGTGAAAAGAGACAGAAGAGTGGTGAATAGGTACTAGGAAAATTCGCCAACATCTACTCACCTCATTCGTGTATCTATTTACCCCTCAAATTCTATTTATTCACCCCGTTTTATATATTCATTTATTTTTATTATATATTGCAAACGAATATGCACCATGTAAAATTCTAAGCAGGCGAAGCCGCGGGCTGAAAACTAGTAATGTAAAGGATAAGAACTCGAAAATCTATGTGGCGCTGTTTGCTTACTTGATCCATCAAAGTACTCTTTAACTCCCATTATCCACATCACACAGCCAAATTGAACAACATAATTAAAATAAAATATTCAAAATATGATTTATTTACAATATCAAGTAAATAAAATAACTAACAAAGACTATAAAAGCTTGTATACTGATTATATTAAACGTAACAAGTATAACAAATTACAATAAACATGTTCAATACAAAACAAACAAGCATTAAAAAAAAATAAGTACAAGGGTGTGTGTGAAAAAAATAACTTTAAAGGTCAAAACTGTTAACAGATACTATTCTGAAAACTCTGGATCGATCTAGATTCTTGAGACAAGTTAAACTGTATCCAAAATCTTTGATATTAAGATCTATTATTTATTTTGACCGTACATCAGTTTATAAAGATTAACATTGGTTATGTTCTTCGACAGAGACAACTAAGGTTCCAATCTTTTCAATTTCACTGGTGATAGTGTCGCCGGGCTTAAGGAATTCTGGGGGCTTGCGGTGCATTCCCACTCCACCGGGCGTGCCAGTGAGGATAATATCACCTGGGAGCAGCGTCATTATACTGCAAAACATAATTATTACTATTAATTAGGTCTGACAAAAGACTGACAAGATAACAAAAGGGTTGTTGTTTAAGTGTGGGAGAGCCATGCTTCGGCACGAATGGTTCGGCTCGACCGGAGTGATACCACGGCCTCACAGAAAGCCGGCGTGAAACAACGACAGCGTTATGCTTCGCAGTGTGAGTGATGTTACCGGAGGCCCAATCCTTCCCCTCCCCCGATCCCTCTTCAATCCTTAAATCTCCAAATTCCTAATCCCTAAACGATCGGCAACGCACTCGAAACTCCTCTGTTGTGGGTGTTCATGGGCGGCGCTGATTGCTTACCATCAGGTAATCCGTCTGCTCGTTTGCTTACCTATTACATAAATAACAACAGGATATTAATTTTTATTGGGCACTTTCACTAAGTGAAGAGGTAAAATCATCAAATTACTTTTCCCGCCCAGGGTGGGGTGAGAGGGAATGTCAGACTCTTACCACCCTTATTACAAAACAAGTATTATCTTGAGTCTAGGTTTAAACCACTGAGTCAGGTTTTGTATTTTGAATCTTATTCTCACCTCCCTTCAATATGAAATTCTCTCCAATTTGAAATATAAAACTGGCTCAATGGGTTAAACCTAGACAAAAAAGATCTTATTTTGTAATAAGGCCGTTACAGACCAAAACCAACCCCGTTCCATGCTCCAGTACGCGGTAAATCATTGCCCTTGCACTCGCAACCACGTTTGTCCTATTATGACCTTGAGACCACAATTATTAATAGCAAAAAAACCTTTGGCGCAGATTACACCTAAATGAAGAGACCATATCCGAAATTCGCTGGCGTTGGTAGTACATGAATAGTTGAAGTCTCTACTTAACTCTTGTATCGTGAGTTTGGTTACAAACAACAAACAACACATCACATCTCAAAAAATGTTGCGCACACCGATCGAGCCCCTGAGCGTCGACCGACTTAGCGCAAAAGCCGTTGCACCAACTGTGCACCCATATTTGTACTATGAATCTTCGCAGTTAGGGAGTTACACACCTAACAAATACCAACTTAAAATCTAAAAGAATACTCACGAGCTAATCCTTTCAATGACATCAGGTATCTTATGGATCAGTTGGCAAGTGTTGCTGTTTTGTTTCTTTTCATTGTTCACGGAGCATTTGATGTCCAAAGTATGTGGATCGCCGATCTCATCGGCTGATACAATGCAGGGCCCAATCGGACAGAATGTATCTTGAGACTGGAATAGCATAAAGAGAAGATGTTAGGAGTTGTCTGTAGAACATTAATAAGTAAAACACAAAAAAACGCAGCGCCTTAAAAGCAAAGCGCGCTTTTAATTAGATGTGGTAATATCATTTTAATCACGCAAATTTCGAGCATCTTGCGTACAAAAATTTAAAAGGTTTGCATATTTTCCTATTAAAATCCAAAAAGGGTAGTTGGTTAGCAACTACAGCAATTAAACGTAGCATGTGTTTCAAGAACAAAATAACCCCTAAAACCTAAAGTTAATTATTATGTTTTCGGTTTAATCACGTAATAACTTGACGACGACGGGCCATATTCATGAGCAGCGTTCCAAGACACGCGACTCGGCAATTGCCGAGTCGCCGAGTCTTATGAATATGGGCCTCTAGCATGGCTTGTAACTAGTAGAGTATCTTGTCAAATTATTACGTGAGTAAGCCGAAATTATAATAAATAATTTAGAATGGCTCACGAAAGTTATAATAAAAAAAACCTAAAGTTCTTTAAATGTGAAGGTTCAATGGCGAGATTTTTTTTCATCAAGTTTTCTCTGCTTTGATTCGTTTGAACCATATACTTTGTTATATATTGTATTGAAGAACACCAGGTCAAGAAAATATACAAACCTTTCCCAATAAAAATTGTCCACCGTTGGCTTCCTTCTGCCAGTCTCGTCCGCTGATATCCTGAGCGACCGTGTACCCGAATATGTATTTGTACGCGTCTGCAGCTTTTACTGACGACGCAGTTTTGCCAATAATCACAGCCAATTCCACTTCCCAGTCGACTTTCTGTAATAAAAAAGGTTTTCCATAAAGACATTTTACAGTATATAGTTAAGCAATTCTAGGGGTTTGCATATATAAAGTGTGAAAACTTATGTTAATAAATAGTAGGTAATTAAAAAGATTAAAGACTAGCACAACAATAAAGTAACATATCCATCCAAATACGACGTGACTGAAGTGCAATACTTTTTTTATAGCAAAAAAGGTAAACTTGCTGAAGGATCACCAGATGGTCAGTGATCAGTGTGCTATCACAGTAGGGCAAAATGCGCTAATCTATTTTTTATTTAGTTTATGGCATAGCGAGGCGAAAAAGTAGACAAATAACTTTAAGGTAAGCAATCCGCATCGAGGTTTTAGATACTGGCAACATCAGGGTACAAGTACAAAAACCTTGCCGCCTTTTTGGGTGTCAAAGATTGAAGGATGGGTAATTTGGGGATTAGCTATTAACAGCTTCACAAGGAAACGGTGTATCATAGTTCTAGAGAAGATACACTTCTGGGCATACTTGAGCAAATACCAACTACTCTAAAATATCTGCATCGAATTTCTGCGTGTCATGTGTATGTGAAATTGTATGTTTGTTACCACATCCATGGCACAGCAGAAAATCCTAAACCCAACGTTGTTCTTTGCAAAAAAAAAAAAAAAATTACCAGTGCTAATTGAGAGGAATGCACTATGAAAAAAGATATTTTCTTCGAAAAACTACTTTAAATTCGTAGTTACTTACTTACGCTTTGGTTGTATTCGTAATTTATCTTATAGTCGATTAATTACTTCCTTATTTATTTTGCTGGAAATTTATAAAGGAAAGGCAAGCTTGTTGCCTAGAACTTGAAGATCAAAATAAAAAACAAGACGACTGTTGTTTTTTCTTTTGTTATTTTGTTGATATTTAGGTGAGTAATCATGGGCAAAAGACATCTAGTCTAAACCGTATTTGTTTTTGAGTGAAAATAGTCAATTTTCAAATGCTTTTATTGCTCTGGGTGGGGCGCGGGGTGAGTGTCTAAAAACCACTCCGTTCTTTCTTCTGGCTGAGGTCGAGGTATACTGTTCCGCTTGACCCACAACTGGACTTGACGTTATTTTTATATCAGAACTCTAAAACAATATAAAATATATCGAAGAAAACACTACGGGCCCTAATTAGTTATCAGACTTTACATAATGTATGCAAAAATATGATAATTTGGTTCGGTGAATGGAACAAACAACTTGTGACTCAAGAATTTTAAATACAAAATGAAGTGCGAACGAATACTCCTACTAAAAACTGAGTTTTTAAAATCAGTTGAGATCTCGGGTGTAACTTTTGGTTCCTGTCAAGCATTTTTGGTTTTATTTTCATAAATAGAACAAATACTATGTGACTCGATCATACGTCACGACAGACGGTAGCAATCAAACAAATTTTCAGTAACGTAACTGTGACCTCTACGCTGCCTGCTAAACGTGGAGCAAAACCACAGGGGTTGCAGAGAAGACCCACATTTGAGCAGTGGGCTATCAAGATTTTGATGAATTGATGTTAACGTGGTTATTGAGGAGATAATACATAGTTCATCAACTTTGTTCTCCCAGCCGACAGGAATACGGCAAAATTCTCCTAGCGTCAGAAACCACCTTCAGAATTCTTATTCTTTCCACTACCCTAAATGTGAAAATATAATCTGACATATTATAGTTACCTTTGAAATATGAGTCCTGATCTTCACAGCTTCGTTAGGCCCAATAATTGTGCTGGCGAATTTGCTGAAGATTATCGGTATTTTAGGCTCTGATAAGTTCTGTTCCTTGCAGTGATCCGCGTAGTTCAGGGCTACACATAGGATCTTGTCCACGCCGTGGATTGGTGCTTTCAATGTGACGTCCGAGAGCGGCACACTTTTTGGTTTCAAAGTTGGGTATCTAAAATCAAAAATCTACAAGATAATGTTTGTATTACCCATTCGGAGATACAAAAGAATCAAGTAAAAGTAGAAAGAAATGAATACTCTAGCTACTGGTACATTTTATTTTGTTTGTTGTTTAATTCTGTTATGGACATAATGACGCGACTATCCCACAAATTTAAGAATAGGTAACGTTATGCTAGAGATACAAATAAATACAAATGCTTATTCTTTCTGAAGCAGAAGATTCGAAACGATTAAACGGAGAAAAAAGCAAACCGAAGAAGGCAGGATGAAAACAATTTACATTTTTTCAAAAAAACTTAACAATGACGGTAGATTAGTTTTGGAGTGGAGATCACATCTTCTAGTCAAATGCGTTGTAATGCGTTTTTTCTTGAAGTGACAAACGTGTTGTGGCAGTTGATAGGAAAATAGACGAAGAGTTAGACCTCGATAAGGAAGATGCGGCGCGGCCGCTTGTCTTCCATTGCAGCAGCGGGCCACGGCATTGCTCACGCAGACATAAAAAAATAAGCAATGTACGATGGATGCCCGCATGAGGGTTTAAGGAAGTGCTATTGGAGATATTGTTTCTATTGACAGAAATGGGCTGATGGCCAAAATTCAGCTGCAGAACTAAAATAATGAATCGAATGTGGCAACGAATGGCGAGTGGGATGAAAAGACTGAATGCCAGGGCGGTCGACAGAGTGTGTGAGCGGGATGGAGTGAGTGAGGAATATGACGAAAGGTATTAACAGTAAACACGGTGTTAGAGGTAACCAGGGTAAAGACGTTAACGAGCCTTTATACGCGCATTACTTTGATAGGGTCCACCAAAAAGCCTTGTTAGAAGATGTTATTGAGATCTTCTTTATAATTACAAGCATGAAAATTGAATATTACCAGAGAGAGAGAGAGAGAGAGAGTCGTTACTTAAGAACAAAAATTATATGTTATTTCGTTGTCGATATCATTATTATCTTACCAAATTATCAAGGTAGGTAAACTTGTCTTATCAAACGCGTAGCTCTTATTTCTTTGAAGATGCAAGTCATTTTACAATACTAATATTGGTTATAAAAAGTCCAATAAGTACCTACTGATAATTACAGTAACTATGATTGTTTGAAAAACTTATTGAGATAACTAAAAACATTGGAAAGTTTTATTTTACACAAAACAATGACTTTTATTTTCAATGTAGTAAAGTTTGTTTTTATTTGACTTTCCATATTTATGCCCAGCTGATAAACTTGTTTGTTTTCAGATTAAATGCAGAAACTTTACGTTAAAAATAGTTTAAAAACACAAATGACAAGTGATGATCAGTAGTGGACACTATTAAGACATTTGATGCATGTTGTTTAACTATAGGGTTGGCGTATTTTATATTTGGAGAAGCCCCCATAACCTCCCGAAACCGCTGCAACTCCTCGAAGCCAGGATCTACAGCACACTAAACACTAGACCAGAATATTGCAGCGGATGACCCTCTTTGAGGAGGTGCTTATCGGGCACGAGAGCTTCGTTAAGTTCCTGGAGGAAACGCCCGAGTGTCATCATTGTGAGGACGACCCAGAGGACACGGTGGAGCATACGGAGGCAGTGTACCATGCTTGGGCTGAGACGTATCCTCAGGGATATGATCAGCGGTGACGACCTCTCCCGCCTCGGCCTTCTTCGAGGCCATGGTGCGGAGCGAAAGGAACTGGGAAGCCGTCTCCTTTTTCTGTGAAGCAATTATGCTCGTGAAGAAAAAGGCGGATCGCGTAAGGAAGCTATCTTCCTCCTCAAGCCACAGCCGTCGCAGTAGGCGGCACTCCGGTAGTCTCGGATCGATAGACGATCTCCGGCTACCGTAAGGGCAGGTCTGCAGAAGACGAGTAATGGTAGCTCGCTGCCCAGCCAGAACCAGACCCAAGCGTAACGCACATAGCGTAACGTGCCAAAGATAGAAGAGAAACGATGATAAAGATGCTCTCTAACACAATTATGGAAGAACATACTGGTCTTTTAATTATGTCCGTATGTTTAAAAGAGAAAATATGATCAAGATGTTCTCTAACACAATGATTGGACCAAATGAATGACCATACTGGTCTTTCAAATAAAACCTTTCTAAATTATGCCAAAGTTAGAAGAAAAAAGATAATCAAGGTGCTCTCTAACACAATGATTGGACCAAAGTAAAGATCATACTCGACTTTCAAATAAAACCTCTCTAAATTATGCCAAAGTTAGAAGAGAACAGATGATCAAGGTGCTCTCTAACACAATGATTGGACCAAATGAAGGATCATACTGGGCTTTCAAATAAAACCGCTCTAAACTATGCCAAAGTTAGAAGAAAAAGATGATCAAGGTTCTCTCTAACACAATGATTGGACCAAATGGAAGATCATACTGGACTTTCAAATAAAACCTCTCTAAATTATGCCAAAGTTAGAAGAGAACAGATGATCAAGGTGCTCTCTAACACAATGATTGGACCAAATGAACGACTATACTGGTCTTTCAAATAAAACCTCTCTAAATTATGCCAAAGTTAGAAGAGAACAGATGATCAAGGTGCTCTCTAACACAATGATTGGACCAAATGAAGGATCATACTGGGCTTTCAAATAAAACCGCTCTTAAGTATGCCATAGACAGAAGGGAAAACATGATCACCTGGGCTCTCTGACACAATTATTAGACCAAACTGGTTTTTTAATTAAAACCACTCTTAGAAGTATTCCAAACATAGAAGGAACAGAATGATCAAAGTTTTCTCTGACACAATTATATTGGATTAAATGAAGGATGATATTGGTTTTTCAAATAAAACCACTCTAAAGTATGCCAAAAATAAAAGTTAAAAATGACCAAGGGTCTCTTCAACACTGAATTGGATCAAATTCAAGAGCAGGACCACAGATAAGGAATTGTCACAGACATAACTTTCTTTCAGTACCTAATGAAGAAACAAGATCCATATATTTCAGTATTTTCTAACGAAGGAAAGATCATCATCAACATCATTGTCAATTTCAAAGTAAAATGATTTTTCAGTATTAAGTATCGAACAAGATACTTTAGTTTACGTCCCAACAATCTCCTAAGTTGTCAGAGTATCACAATGGGTATTTTCTCGGATAACTCTTTGACTACTGGTACATGTTTCAAGTCAAACAAAATTAATATTAAAAAGTATTAGTCTTTAGGTCAATCCCTACTGAAGCTTGTTTTATTTGCTTTCTTCAAAGTATAGAATCCTATGCAGAAGAATAAGTAAGAAACTCAATGTGTAATATTTTTCAATTCAATTTTCATAAAAAAAAACTTGTTCTGATCAGATGCATAAAATGAGCAAGCAGGAAAATCAAACCTTAATACCTAATATCTTTCAGGAAACATTACTGAAAGTTTCATCATGCAGTTAATCTAGTTTCAACTTTCATACTTTGTGATAAAGATTAGATTACCTAAGTGGACTACCTACCTGGTTGATCAAGTGTAATGTTTTTTTTATTTAGAGAGGTATCTGTTAAAAACTGGTTTGGTAGACTGCAGACAAATTCAGAAGAGGTTTTATTCATATTCAAACTAGAATTAGTTAGGTATGCAGATAAAAAAAGGAATGTTTTAAACTATGGCTCTTTAGTAGTATTTAGATACCTATTAATGGTTACACTTCTAATAGAAGTGTTACCATTAATTAATTGTAAATATAAAATTGAACTAGATATGAAATAAATCAATAATATTATATATACCAAACAAAAAATAACAAAAAAGTTTACATACCCAAAAACCTTGTTGATGTGTTCATAGTTCAACAAACCCAACATAGTATGGGGCACATTTGAATCAATTTTATTAATATCGACTACACATTCTCCATCTAAATATCCGGCTCGAATTTGCTTCGGGTCATCTTTATAGGTAAATTGGACGAATTTCATATTGTTGATATTTGTTGTTGATATATTTCTTTGGCTAGGTATGCTGTTGCCGGTCTGGCCTTTTGACAGCAAATGCGTAGTTAAAGCGCGCGCGCCTATCCTCATGGCACTCATGATTGTGTAGTCGGAATTATATTATGTAAGTTGTTTGAAATGTTTACTCGATCTCAAGGTTGTTTGATATTTTAAAACTGTAAGGCTAGTGCACACTCAATCAACTTGTGTCATTGGTTTTTTAGTTATATGCACAGCATTTGCAATAAAATCTTATCATTTTTGTGGAAAGATAAATAAAAAGAGTTAGAGATGGTCATACTTAATTCATTTTTTTCAAAATAATTCTTATCAAAAGCTGCGATTTAATTTCTTCACTTGATAACGTTTTTTCTGTCAAATGGTCGTCACGTCATCCGTCATGTGATAACAGCCTGACATTGACAAACTCGATATCGGTTTAGAAATCATGTACCAACAATATCCCAAGTCGTACATTATTAAACAGTAATTAATTTGTATAATTAAGTTAAAAAGAAGTAAGAAATATTCCCCTATTCTACTTCATAATAGAGATTTTTAGTTCTTATTTTTTTTATGTTTGATTGAAGATAGTATTTAAAAAAGTGTTAAATTTCCAAACTGATGAAACGAGGTTGGTTGGCCTTGGCCATTTTTATAGTGTAGTGCTATCTACATTTACGAATTGATAATTTAGATAATCGAATCAGTAGTTTTCGACATAGTCAAATTCGATTTCAAATACTATGATTTACAACTGTGCTTTTATTAAAATCAACGAATTGAAGAAGATCTTGAATTTTTTATAAGGGTGTTGAGAAGTCGGAAATAATAATAAAAATATTGCTATGGCCATGGTACGGCACAACTGGATCGACTTAGTAGGCCGAGCAGGCAAGAACGTACGATATTCGAAATCAAATAAATGGAAGTGCAAAAGTGCTTAGCAAAAAGTGTTTTGTCTGCTCGATTCCGTTACCTGATTAAATACAAAACATTATGTATACTTTACAACTAAATCTAAATGTTCAAATGCGAAATTAGAATCGAGCAGTATCGATTATATTTTGCGATAACAACACTACGATAAATTTGTTGTCAATTCACGGGTCAAGCGGAATCTAATAGGCCGGTTAGGAAAATACTAGAATAGAAATATTCCCAATAATTTTATCAGTACATTGTTCTTGCTTAGCAATCAATTATAAACAAAATGTCTTTCTTGGTAAAACAGCTGGCTCGCAGAGTAAGTTTCTAATAAATGTTCGGATTTTATAGAAACGGTATCATTACAATATTAAATGACCTATTTAATTAAAATAACATTGCTTTGTAATTCCAAAGGTCTTCACTCCAGCTGTAGCATCGGTGAAAAAAGTGAACTTTTCTACAAGTGAGTATTATTTAGATTGTTTTTGTTATTAGTTTTATCTAGTTACATAACCTCAAATTCAAATGAGAATAATTTTTTTATGAGACCATTTTGTTGCCAAGATTTTTTTACGATGTCATAAGGACTTTTTACACAAATAATAATATACTTCATTTCATTTTCTTTATTTTGTGTTTTTCTTTCCTATTTTTGTGATTCTTATTTAAATTTTATAATATTTTAGCTAGCGCAGTGTTTGTACCAAAAGTTCAGCAGCCCGCGCCTAATTTTGAAGCAACTGCAGTGATCAATGGCGAATTCAACAAATTGAAGCTGGCAGATTACCATGGAAAATATGTTGTTCTCATTTTCTACCCACTTGATTTGTAAGTATCAATAATTTAATTCCTGTAAGGAAATATATTGATTGCTTGTAATGATTTTCATGTTTTACACACTTTACGATCAATTTGTGAAAAAGGTAGGTATTAAGCCTCAATCATTTTAAATCAAGCATTAGATATTCACTGCTTAACACAGGGCTCCAATGACTATCAGAATGACCAGTTGGCATCATCCTCCTGACTCTGTAAACTTAATGTTGATTTATTTATTTATAGGTTTACACCAAATGTGATGACATACTTCAATCCTAGAAATTTTAGTAATTTAAGTTCTTAAAAACCGCAACATTGTTAACTTAATTTAACTAAGAGGTTTGCCAACAGCAAAATCAATTATAAAGTTATGGATTTCATAATGAAGCACCTGCCCAAATCGTGGATGACATGTTTTATAAATATGTAAAATATTAGCATACAATATTTTTAAATAATATAAAATTATTGATGAAACTGATTTCTAGACAGAAATCCAGTATTTTATTTGTTATTTATTATTTTTCAGTACCTTTGTCTGCCCAACTGAACTGATTGCATTCAGTGACAGGGCAAAGGAGTTTGCCAGTATTGATTGCCAGATTATTGGAGTTTCCACTGACTCCGAGTTCAGCCATCTTGCTTGGACTAACACTCCTAGAAAGGTAAAGCTCAAAATGTAAAACTTGTTTAAAGTTTAAAAATAGAATCATAGACAAGGTTTAGTCATGGAACAAATACTCCTTTTTTATCTGTACTTGAGATTAATGACTTAGTTCTAAGTAGGTACTAACTGAGCCAAGTTTTAATAGGTAGATACATACACATAATTATATGAAGTGTATTGTGACTCTATGAGCAACTCTGTCCATGATGTGTACATTGCTTAAAAACTAACTTAACAGTAAATTCCCATTGTCAATTGAAATGAGAAGAGTTTTTCTCAGTTTATTCATGTTTTTAAATCATTCTTTTCAATAAATGCAGTATGTCTCACAATTATGGCCACTATATTTATGTATAACACCTCATTAGCTGTACTTGTCAGAAACAAAGGCATTTTATCCTAATATGTAAATTCTAAAATATTATTTCAAATAAAAAAAAACAACCAATTTCAAGCAAAAGGTATATTATTTATTATCTACATAAAAATTTTGAATAATTAAAAATAATGTCAACAGATAATACAGGTCAGAACAAAAGTTGATAAAGTAGATATGATTGATTTAAATGTAATGATGTTATTATTTTATTTTAAACATGTATTAATGTTGACTGTTTGTTTAATTATGACATATTTTAAATTGTCAAGGGGTGGCCAGAAATACATGTTATTGAATGTGACATCTAATTTATATGTATGTTATAAGTCTCATGTAACAGGATGATCCAAACTATTTCAAACAAAATCGAAAAAAGTACTTTGAATAATTTACCCGACCCAGGGATCTAATATCTATTCTGAAGCCCCAACACTTCGAAACATTCAACTACACATACTTACTTTAATTTTTATTGTATATCTTTAACATTGTAATATTTGTTTTGTATATAAAAATACAAAATATTAAACATAAAGTAGCTTATTTGTTTGTCTATTCTTTTCAGGATGGTGGTCTCGGCAAGATAGAAATCCCTCTTCTTGCTGATTACTCCAAGAAGATTTCACAAGACTACAACATCCTGTTAGATGCTGGTTTCGCTCTTAGAGGTGATAAATATATTTTATTTTGGCCTTTTCATGGCTAACTATTGCTCTCCCAGACTTTAGGGATTAGAGCACATCACCTATTATTGTAGATGAGAGAATGTCTTTAGGGTTTCCATAGTTGTTTGAAGTCAACCAATTGCAAACAATAAAAATTAAGCTTAATAAATTATTATTTTTATGGTATAAGTCGGCAAAGGAGCAAAAGGATTACCTGATGGTAAGCAATCGGCGCCGCCCATGGACACCCGCAACACCGAAGGAGTAACGAGTGCGCTGCCGGCCTTTTGGGGATAAGGGTTGCGGATATAAGGATTGGGAAGGGATCGAGGAGGGGGAGAGATTGGCCCTCCTGTGATACATTGTTGTTACACGCCGGTTTTTTGTGAGGCTGTGGTATCACTCCGGTCGAGCTGGCCTATTCGTGCCGAAGCATGGCTCTCCCACACTTGGACTAAGAATTTCTCCTTTTATTTTTTCAGGTCTGTTCGTGATTGACAGAAACGGTATTCTTAGACATATGTCGGTCAACGACCTGCCTGTCGGTAGATCTGTAGATGAGACCCTCAGGCTTGTGAAGGCCTTCCAGTTTGCTGACAAACATGGAGAAGGTATTATATTTTGCTGCTCAATTTCTTTTTTTTTTCTTGGCTAGGGTTAGAAACGGTTTGATTATTTAGCTGTTGGTAAGGCAACGCCCATGGCAACACCAGAGAAGTCACAAGTGCCTTATGGTGAGGGTTTGAGCTTTCGCTAATATCACTCTTGTTGAAGCACAAGGCCTGGTTATGCGTCGGATAAGTTGCCCCATTTGTTCTATCTCTACAAATAAAGCAACACGTCAAGTAAATTTATAGTCAGAAATGATGAAATGACAATATAAAGTCGTACATAATTACAATATTGAATAAACAATATAAGTAATAATAAAAATGACAAATATGTCTACCACAGACAAACCGCAGGAAAACACTATTCCAGGTGAACGGAAACAAAGAACAACTCTTTGATTTTTAATTTTTTTGTCTGTTGTCTCCAGCTAATTTATCCAGATTGGGAATAGCTTTTTGGAATTTTGCTCTTTGTAGCAACGGTTCATATTCAAGCAATAGTCTATCAGGAACTGTTGTTGTTTTTGTATAATGTGTAAATAATTAATTTACACACTTGGAGAAGACTATCATTTGCTGGTGAAACATATTTAGATTCTAGCTTATGCTCCGTATTAACGGAGCCGCCCGTTCGCCTGGAATAGTGAGTTCCTGCAGATTTTTGGTATAAAAACTACCTTAAGTCCTTTCTTGAGTTCCAAATTATACTATAAATGTGAAAGTAACTAGTCTGTACCGAATTTCACAGAAATCTGTTCAGTAGTTTAGGCGTGAAGAAAAGACAGACAGACAGACAGACAGACAGAGTTACTTTCACATTTATAATATTAGTCTGTACCGAATTTCACAGAAATCGGTTCAGTAGTTTAGGCGTGAAGAAAAGACAGATAGACAGATAGACAGACAGACAAACAAACAGACAGACAGAGTTACTTTCACATTTACAATATTAGTATGGATTGTCAAACATCATAGTTTCTTTTCAACAGATCTTTGAGTTGTTTTGTAGTTTGGTAAAAATACCTTGCCGAGTTTTTTTAATTCGTATATTGTTTTTTTTTATTTCTAGTCTGCCCAGCCAATTGGAACCCAGACACAAACGCAGCCACGATCAAGCCTAGTCCCAAAGCTAGCAAGGAATACTTCGAAAAAGCCAACTAATACTTCCACACAAATATGAACCTTACGGCATTTATATAAGTGTACCTTTTGCATACAATTGAACATAGTATTAGTATGTCTAGAATGAAAACGGGTTGTTTAGATGGAAAGGTGTGCAATGCAATTTGAGCTTTATTGTAAGGGAAAATGGTGTAGAGCAGTAATTATTATGTATGTAATTTATTATTTTTTCATTATTGTGTAATGCATAGTCATTATAAATGAGTCTTATTAAGAATTTTGTGTTTTATTGCATGAGGTACTTTGACGAACTTAAACAGTTGGTAGTACGAGAATGAAGTACCTACCCGATTGATGTTATGTGCACGAAGTTTAATTATCACACATTTTTTTAAATAACTATTTACTCTCCTGAATTAATTGAGAAAAGCTCTACCAGTTTCATGTCGCAACGGGACTCTTAGACTAAGAACTCACGGAGCGATTGAATAATTACCCTCACTTTGAATAATGACCCTGGGAAGTACCCAGGGTCAAAGTAACCCGAACTTACGGTACTATTCAAAAATTGTTAACACACAAGTGGTACACAAAACCAGCTGGTGTACCGCGTGCCGGCTTATTTCTTACTTCTTATTTAGTCTGACATTCCCTCTTGCCCTGTCCAGAGCGGCAGAAGTCTTGTACCAGTAGGTACAAGACTTACAACCTACACTGTTATATAACCTACTCATTTGAATTAACTGAGAAAAGCTTTAAGTTTCAAGTCACAACGGGACTCTTCTTATTCAATAGCTTGCCAGTCCTTATCCTTATGAGAGTCTTACTGACTGAACCCCCCCCCCCCGTTCCTGCTCTGGGCCGAGGTCGCGGTGCCTCATTGCGCTTACCCCGCAACCCCGGCTGCACATCAGCCCTATAGGGCCTCGTCTATGGTGATCTATTGGCTCTTTGAGGCGCGCGCGCAACGCTACGCACCGCACCGTGCGCTTGGGTATGAGGGGTTTACGGTTAGGGTGCTTGCACAGAGAGCATAGATTTACGAAAGGTGTGAATAGATGTTGGCAAATTTTCCTAGTACCTATTCACCCCTCTTTTGTCTCTTTTCACGCTTCGAATTCTATTCACCCCGTTTTACCGGAAGTTGATATTTTCTTTTTAGTTACTATTAAAAAAAAGTTTTGTATCTATAAAACTGTTTATACCGTATATAAACACTAATTTACACTATCTCATTTATTGTATAAAAAATGCTGTCATGTAGCTACTATCCTTGTGCAAGGCAGTGGTTTAAAAAGCTATCAGACTACTACAGATAGGATCCACGATATGGTCGATAACCTACCGCGTTTGCAGGTAAAGCAGTCATGGTCTTAAAGAAGGCGGAGAGCATGAGGGAATTATCCTCACCCCTCAGTTGCGAAGTAGAAGACGCTATGTTCGTCGAGGATCATGTTACAATCTCCGAACACTCACACCGAAACAGGCCCGAGCGTACAGCGCGTAGCGATTCGCGTGCGCCTAAAAGAGCTTATTAATCACAATAGATGGGTCGCAAAAGGGCCGATGTCCAACCGAAATTGACCGACCGAACCGAAGTCCAATTGGAATCTACACTTTGTAACGAGCAAATAGGTTTACTAGAGGACAGAGCGATAGACTGACACTTACTTAAAGTGAAACTTTTTGATATTTTTTTTTGTTTGAAGTTCAAAATTGTCTTTCATGGTCTATTTGAAATAAATGACTTTGTCCCAGTTGTAATAATGTAGGTACTCTGTGCTTTGTGCTCTCGCATTGAACCAAGCCGGGATCAGACATTTTACTATCCGGGGTTGCGGGGTAAGCGCAATGAGGCGCCTTGGTCTAGAGCAGGAGAAGGAACAGGGGGTTTTTAACCAGAAAGATTCTGACACTCCTCTCGCCTCACCCTGGGCGGGAGAAGTCATTTTTGATTTTCCCCTGACAAAAAATCCAATCCCCCCACCACCTCAAAAATTGGTTGTTGTTATAAAAGGCAGGATGCGCTCTTGGTCCTTTTAAAAAATATATTAACCGTGACTAATAATTTAATTAACGAAAACATAATCTCCTTACCTCATAACATGCGTGAGATTATGTCGAAATCATTTGAAGGCTAATAGGTCAATTAATATCTCGAAATATTGTATTGTTCGTAATGGCCACAGATTATAATAATAATATTGTTTATCTATTAGGTGATACTATTTTTCGGGTCCCGTGTCCGTTCCCTCTACAAGAAAACGCAGTAGGGTCGTACCTCAAGAACTACGACACAAAATACTTTGTTATGAAAAAAGAATAAAAATAACCTTGCTCCACACTAGTCTCGTATTAAAGTGTGGGAGAGCCAAACATCTGTACAAATGGGCCGGCTCAACAGGAGTGATACCTACCAGGGCGTCACAAAAAACCGGCGTGTAACAACTACTTACAGCGTTGTATTTCGTCATGTAAGTGCAATCCCAAGGTGCTAACCATGTGTTACTTCAGTGTGGGTAAGAGACCGAGCTAGACAACTTGTATAGCTCTTTCTCTCACCCACACTGAAGTGAGATTAAAACAATCTTACTTTGATCGTCATGGTTACCCCCCAGCCCCTCTGCTATCTATTCCCATTCCTTAAACAACCGAAACCCTTATCCCCAAAAGGCCGGAAATGCACTCGTAACTCCTTTGGTGTTGCGGGTGTCTATGGGCGGCGCCGATTGCTTACAAACAGGTTATCAGTCTGCTTGTTACCGACATGTCCCATAAAAAAGGATTATCTTCTGTGTCAATAGAATAGAATAGAATTGAACTTTATTGCCTCTAAGGTTTCAAGATACCCAGTAGGAGAAGGAACAGGGTCGTTTTTAGTCCGAAAGAGTAAGTACCTTTTCACCTCACCAATATTGGGAGAAATTATTGGGATTTCCCTCTCTTATTTCTTCTGTTTATCTTTTGCCCTTTTCCTGCGTTGGTACGGAACTCTTCTTGGACGAGTCCGTCTCGCACTTGGGACGAGTTTTTCACACTAAAGAGGATAGACTTATTGAAATGATGCACGTGTGGACGAAGCCGGATTAGGTAAACTAATCGAGACTTCAACAGGTTTGAACTTTATCACAAAATAATAAAGTTTAAATTGCCGCAGCGTAGGTAAGTACGTAATAATAAAAAAAATATGTTTTTTGTTATATTTCGAAGGAAGTAGGAGAACATTATAGTTAAACTTTGTCAATTAATTTTTTTTAGTTGTGACTTATACAAGCTTATCTGTGGAAAAGACATGCTTCGGCACGAATAGGCCGGCTTGAGTTACGTTACGACGACTTTACAGAAAACCGGATCACGCCGGTTTTTCGGATAGACAACGATTGCGTTGTGTTTCGGTATGTGCGTGAGGTTAGGCACCGGGCCATTCTCCATCTTCCTCCATCCCCAATCCAAAAAACCCTGATCACCAAATCGCCAATACCCAAATCCCCAATCCTGAAAGCGTGAAAGTGGGCAACGTTCTTGTAATTTCCTATGTAGGTATAGTGTTGCGGATGTCCATTGGCGGCATCGATTGCTTACCATCAGGTGATCCTGTTTGCCATTCTACCATTTAAAAGAACTTTGAAGATCGTAATCTCGAATGTTCTTGTTTAAAATGTACCTATAGCCCATTAATTGGCTCATACAAAACCCGTGAAAAGAGTGAAGGTCACCAAACGGCACACACAACGGTACCTAATTCAAATTTAATACCTACTTTCAATTATCAATCAACGATTCAAAAGGTCAAGTACTCACCTAGATCTATTCATTATAAGTAGGACTTGGTTGAGTACCTACCTCATTAATTCATTTATCTACTTACATAATTTACGTATATACCAACTACTTAGGTACATACATCCGTGCAGTTTCAAGTTTTCAACATAGCTCGTAGTGATATTTTATATATAGGTAACCCATAGCCGGTTTTTTTTTGATGGAGGAGATGCCAGACTTTTACTGACTAAAAACCATAAACCAACCCATTCCTTCTCTACTTGAGAATGGGGCCCATTCTCAAGCAATGCACATTATTGTGCTTCACCCGCAACCCCAGGCAACCCCGGAAAACCTATAGACTGACCCGAAAAATGGTCTATTCAACACAAAATAATTTTACCAAGTCCAGCTTTCCTCACGATGTTTTCGTTCACCGCCTATTAATGGTGCCTAAATAATCGTAGAAAGTAGGTACATAGAACTCGTAAAATGTCATATGCATGAGATGTGGGTGCCTGAACCTCTGGGCCACCACGACAACACCACAATGTTGAGAGTGTCCAATGGTTGGCACCGATAGCAAACCATCAAGAAAAGAAAAAATAGAAATCCATTCTAGGATAATGACCAGATTTTGTAAATTAATTTCCAAAAAATAGACAAAGGATTTGTATCCAATTATAAAATACAATACATATATATACCTAATTGTGGAAGAGTAATGCTTCGGCACGAATAGGGTGATACCACGGCCTCACAGAAAACCGGCGTGAAACAAACACAGCGTTGTGTGTCGCCGTGTCTGCGTCCAGTTCCCAAAATCTCCCAATTCTAAATCCCCAAAAGGTCGGCAACGCACTCGTAATTCCTCTGTTGTTACGGGTGCCCATGGGCGAGGCTGATTGCTTACCATCAAGTAATACGTTTAATCGTTTGCCGACCTATCACAAAAGTAAATATTTAGATTCTGAGGCGGCACGACGTTCGACGTCCACGTGTACACATAATATCACAAATTTAATATTTTTCACACCGGATAAATATTTTTGTCATGTCATACAAAATTGATCAATTATTCACAAAAAGACTATAATTATTCGGTGTTAATAGTATTTAATTATATCTAATAATTAATTTATGGTATTCATAAAATTATAATTGAAAGATTATCTTCGTGTTGGGTGCGTACCTACATTTTTTGTAAAATGAAGGACAATTTTATTTTTTTAATCGATTCTAAAAAACAAAAGCTTACGCATGTCATTTGTTTAATTTGGTCGTTATTTTTAATGGTATTTCAGTGACGTTTTTTATTTATATTTATCCTCATTCTTTTTTTTTTGTAGTTGGATAAGGTTGCAGTCCAGCAGATGGAGCACCATGGAGAACCTCAATACCAGAAAAGTTGCAGAGAAAAAAGAGTAAAGTTGGTCTTTTATTTATTTGAAACTTCATGCACAAAACACTATACATAGGCGGACTTAATGCAATAAGCATTCTCTACCAGTCATCCTTTTGCGGAAATTTAAATGGGTACTGGAGGTTTAGGGATTAGAGAGTCATAGAAAAGAGCATTTTCTATGATCTCCGGTAGCCTTGCCCAGTTTACTCAGGTTTTCTGTGTGGCCGAAAATACTACAGGCGAGCAGGCCCCCTCGTGCCAAAACATGGCTTAGCCGCGCTTAATATTTATGTCCATCTTAGCCTAATTATAGGTTGGCGATCTTAAATAGCTTATTGGAACTGTAGTGGATACAAGAAGCGAAATGAGGCATAGCTCAAGGCTTTAGATAGGAGCCTTATGCGTGAAGACGCGTCTCCTTAAACTTATGCGTATTATGCGAAAAGATTTCGTTTACGGAAACGCGCGCTGAAGGCGTGTTCTTTTTTTGTCGTACACTGCTGCATCAGACGGTGTTATGGCCCGTGCTAACGCAAACACTATGAGCATTGTATGAAGGCAGCCGCGCATCTCATCGCATGTCCGTAAATGAGGTCCCATTTAAATTCTTAGCCAAAGTTGTTGAATTAATATGATGTATAATAATAATGGATTATGGAATGGATTGCATACGGGACAAGAGTAATTTTTCGCAGGTTAAACATACAAAGAAAGTTTATCTGCAACCCAATAATTACAACATATTTTCGTTTCAAAATTGTCATTATTCGGGACTTTGTTCTATTGATTTACTAACTAGGTACATGCTTTTTTTAATAGGGAAAATCATCAAATGTCTTCTCTTAGTTCTCTCACATAAGCTGGGCTATATGCTTGTGCAAGAAACTGAACAAAAGAATGGTAAAAAGGATGTTAATAAAAAAATAACACGACAAAAGTATTGTTGTAAGTATATTTTATTTTTTATTCTTAGGTACATCGAATTCAGTCATTTACATACAAAAGTAAACTTACATAATAAAATTAAACCTTAAAACAAAACAGTTTTTATAATTAGATACCTATAGAGTAACATAATTATGCAGATTTTATTTACTTACCTACTAATGTATAAATGTATTTATATTAATAAGAAGTTAGTATTAAGATTACATTCCTTACTTGAAATATACCATAAAACTAGGCCTTATAATACCCGAAGAGGAAAAACTAACGAATTACGCCGAGGTATTCTTTGTAACAGCTAACAGCGATTCAACAATTACCTAAATATCATGTAACATCGATCGAGCAATTACTGAGATATTTGTTAATAAAAAAACAATCTAAGAAGTGTTTAGTTTACTCAGAAAGAGCCTAATACTCTCTTTCTTCATATCCAGGGCAGGAGAAGTCGTTGGATGATTTCCTCAACTTAAAAACGACCTCCGTCCTTCTTGCCAGTCATGCTTGAAAGGTATAAGCATTGGTCGAATACCAATGAGTCAGTGCCCTACCTGTAGTAGTTGAAATAAAGATAAAATGCACATAGCAAATAGGTATAACATTAACTGTTCTGTTTTCTGCAATGATGTGCCGCGGATAGACTCTGATCAGGAGATGTTACGGGGTGGTTTTTAAACAGTACGGGTCTGATATTCTCTCTCATTCCACTGTGGCCGTGGGCGGAAATAGTCGTTCGATGGATTTTTCCATTCAAAAAAAACCATATCTCTGTCTCTTTTACGTATGACAGGCAAAACTATTATAAGTATTTTATGAATATCGAGGTATGATATTTTTTTACTTTTTTTAAGTTTTTGTGGACATTTACAATCGTCACATCTGAAATACATATGTACATAATTATAATGCATGTTGATGATTGCATGCATGCATGCAATCTTCCAAATGTAAAATTTAGGTGAAATTGCGACAGGTTTTGACCAATTTGAGTATTTAAACCTTCTATGAAATTAAATAAAAAAATAAAAAGATGATATAAAAATAATGGTATCTTAATATGTAATACATCATTATCGTTATTAATAAAATAAAGATCTCTTTGTAGTAGTACTTGTAAAAATGACATTGGCTAGTCAAAAACCTAATTAGAATAAGAACTTTTCAAGGTCACCTTTCAATTTAGATAAGAAACAGTGTGCACATATAAGAAAAAGTGTGGGAGAACCATGCTTCGGCACGAATGGGTCAGCTCGACCGGAGTGATACCACGGCCTCACAGAAAACCGGAGTGAAACAACCACAGCGTTGTTTTTCGCCGTATGAGTGAGGTTACCTTAGCCCCAATCCTTCCCCTCCCCCAATCCTCCCTCATTCTAAATCCTAATCCCCAAAAGGTCGGCAACGCACTCGTAACTCCTCCGTCATTGCGGGTGTCCATGAGCGGCGCTGATTATTTACCATAAGGTAATTCGATTGCTCGTTTGCTGACCTATCACATAAAGAAAAACATTTTCTTTTATTTTTCAACAAATCCAAAAATTATTGTAGTAATCTTCAACAAAAAAAAAGAAATAGTTTCTGATCTAACTTAAAAGGTGACCTTGAAAAGCACAGCGGTGTCACTGCTCCCAAGAAACCAGACAAAATATTAGCTCAAATGATGCTAAATACTAAGTCCTAGTAAACACTAATTTGATGAGCAAATGTTAACATTTTTGGAGAGACATTACTTAGTGTCAAACTAAGTCCAAGGTCCATCTAATCGTTTTTAACCTCCAAATTCGGAATTTAAAATACTTTGAATTCCGGGTGTTTGAAGTCGGAACTGGAAGATAAAAAGTAGGTATCTACAAAAGTTAAAATACTCTATGGTTATCTATGTTAGTACCTACAATAACACAAAGACGATTTTGCAAACCTGCCAGTATATGAAACAAACAATAGAATTTTCCTCTTATTACAATATCCTGATATTATTAACTAGTTACTGCCACGCGGTTTCACTTGTACAGCTGCTTGGAAAGCATAGCCTTCCTGGATTAATGTACTAAGTAGGTATCCAACACAAAAATTGAAATGCACACATTTCGAATCTGTAGTTCCATGGATAACCGCGTTCAAGCAAAAAAGCTAACAAACTATTCAGCTTCATAATATTAGTACCTACAGACATGTATTGTAGTTAGTTAGGTAGCTGTCCAAACTCAAAAAATATTAATTACAAGTACCTATGTAAGTTGAGTTAGTATACAAAAATACAAATAGTTCAAGTGGTTTCTTTGCTCCCAATTCGATATTAATAATAATCCTTAACTTTAAAGTTACAGTACTTACAGTTTAGATTTGCATATCAAATAGTTCATACTGAACCACCCGGCTATTTGTATTTATAACTAGCGGCCCGCACCCAGTACGCACGGCTATCCAGCCGGTTCGAATTTTCCGATCTTTCATAAGAGCCTTCTCCTGATTACAAACTCAACAAAAATTTGCGAATTTGGTCGAGGCGTTTTTGACTTATGCGCTTAACAATACATTTTGCTATTCATTTTTCAATTATAGATTATTAGGTAAGCTTTTAAAATAAAATCATACTTCAGCTTCTTTGTTCAATCGTTATTTCGTGTCCGGAAACAGGCTTCAAAAGAAAATCGACCTTCAGTTTTAGATTACTGTCATCAGCCGTCACCTTGTAGGTTCTTAGGAAATGAACTAACGTCGTCTTCATGGATATCATGGCGTATGTTCTACCTGTTAAACATAGAATTTTAATGAGCGTAAGCGAGAATAGGTCGGATCAAGTGCAGCGATATCAAGGCCTTACAGAAAACTGGCGTGGAACAACCACAGCGTTGTGTTTCGCCGTGTAAGTAAGGTTATCTGAGGCCCAATTTTCCCGTCCCCCTCACTTCGCCCTAAATCTCCGCATCCGTTACTTCTCTGGTGTCGTCCTTGGGCGCCGTCAATTGCTTACCATCAGTTAATCTGTCCGTTTGTCACAATAAAAAATCTTTCACAGATTTCGAGTTCCAAATACAATCAGTCCATAATCCGTAGCTGGAATATGTCTATCTACATGTACACAATGTAGGTACATTTTGATGTTCAATCAAGAATTAATTAAGAAATTCGTACCTAAACAGGATCTTTTGCCCAAACTGAAGCCGATGAAAGCGCCAGGATTGACAGGCGTGTCAGGGTCCAACCACCTTTCTGGTCGGAATTCAGCTACGTCTTTACCCCACACGGGGTCACGATGGGCCCCAAACAGTAAGATGATACATTGACTTCCTGCGCGCATTGTGTAGTTTTCTGCAGAAATATTATGTTGTTTGAACAGGTTTAATGGTAGTTATGTTCTAAAATTGAAATTGACGAATTGCTTGTATGAACTAACAGAAAAAAGGACGACAATATTGACAGCGATGTCCTTGATCCCGTTGTGATTTGAAAATTTTCACGTAAGTAATTCGTAATTATTATAGCAAGAATAGCTTTGGTTCTGCCAATTAAAACTGTTCTGGGCCAAAAGTCCCGACTTATCAACCCCGGGTCAATAATATGAAGAAAACATTTTAACAAATATTCGAAGTCCACTGCACTTCAACTTGATGAGTTTAAAAGCTACGTGAGTTTCTAATGTACATAATAAAAACGCCTTCTTTAAAGGAATGATTCAAAAACTTGTTTTGCTTAATCCAAAATTCTGTAAATTGTTAAAAACTATTCAAAATGCATGTTATTGCATTCACGTTTCTCTTCGATGAAATTATATAAAATCAATCAAGTTTTTGCACATTAGTAAAATTGTTATTCGTTATAAATAGTGATGCAGACACGTGGGATATTTAAAAAGTATTTTAATAACATACGCGTGTCTTGTGATATCAATTTGGTGAATTTTACAACTTCCGTGAGCTATTAGCTATCCATTAATCCAACCATCTTTATTAGGTTGATCACATTTAAAATAGTTTGCGTGTACAGATTAACAAAATTAAATAAAACTATAGTATTTTGGCATCTGTACAGACCATGTTTTCAATGTGTACAGAGACATGGCAAAACTTATATAATAAATTTGGAAGTGCACTGTCCATTACGTCACGAAGGCAACTCAATGACATTCCGCAGGTACAATTCCAGTAGATAATGAGAAAAACCAATAAGAAGTTGTTATTTGCCCAAAAAATTGTCTATAAACGACAAAAGTCTATGTTCATACTTCGTTTTAAAAACCCTGTTTTCTTCAAGAACATTCTCGATCCCATCCTAATTAAAGAAAACGTGTATGAAAAACTTACTTAGTTTGACATCCTTGTCAACGTATCTCAGGGTGACCGGACCAGTGGTGAAGACTCGCAGACTCTCCTTGATCACTGCTTCTGTATAGACCAGCTTTTGAAGGTCATCCTTATCAACATCCCTGTCTGTTGGGAATACTTGTTTGATCCTGTTGACAATGAATATATGTTAGGTAATGATGGAGAAGAAGAATTGGAGAGGATGGATAGCTTGCCATATTATCTATTTATTTATTATTATATGCACATCACACACACAGCAAATAGGAAAACAAATACAGAAACAGAGATACATAGTTTATTATGTTTACTATTGACTATTTATTACATAGCTTTTCTCTCACGTGGCTAAGCCGTTGTTTGGTATTTATAGGTTGATTCTTACGTTGATTCTACCGGAAGGTCTCATAGAAAATCACCGCGAAAATACCCTTGCTTTTTGCTTACTGTGTGAAGAGAGTTATCGGAGGCCCAATACCATCCAATAAGGGTAAAACACTCGATAATCCGCTGGTGATGAGGATGGCCCTGTTTGGTGCCAATGGCTAACCATCAGGTGGTAAATGTGCTCGTTTGACTACTAATTACATAAAATCTTCAATGACAGAAGTATAGTAGAATATTGTGACTCACTCTTGATAAATCTTCTCCTGGATTTCAGGATGTGTTCCTAACAGTATCATAATGTAACTAAGTAAGCTTGATGTTGTGTCGAAGCCAGTCACAATTGCTGTGTCCACCTCCTCTCTGATCTCCTTATCAGACAGTGCATTCTCGTCTGACAACTCCAAGAGTAGGTCCAGGAATGGCTTGTATTTCGTATCTGCATATAAACAAAACAATTTGGATTATTTGTGTCTTCTTGATATTAAGACTAGGTAATTTATAGAATCAGGCGTTACTTTGCGGAAATCACATGACATTAAATGTTAGGGAAAATATTTAGTTTTAATTCCGCGACAAAGAGCTAATTTAAGACTAGGGCTAAATGCTTGAGTGGTTGTGTTTCGCTGAGTGAGTAAGGTTACCGGAGGCCCAGTCCATCCCGAACTCATCCCAATCTCCAAATCTCCTACCCTTAAGATACCTAATAACCCACAAAACGCCGGCAACGCACTTGTAATAGCTCCTTTAGTGTTACGAGTGCCCATGGGCGGCGCTGATTGCTTACCGTCTGGTAATCCATATGCTTGTTTGCCAACTTATAATAAAAGATCAAACATCACATCATTACTTTAGTTTTCATTTTTTATTAATTTATTTATTCTTTATATACAATTGTATATGAGAGGGCTTAATGGTAGAAGCATTTTCTGCCAGTCATCCTTTTTGTAGCAGAGATGTGTATTTTTCTCTATTTATAAAATTATTACACCTAGGTTTGTTACTATAAAGGTCAAGGTGTCGTACAATGCAATTAGGTGATAAACAGATTCTAGCAATTCTTCAATCTTGAAATAAGGCTTATGCCAATGTCTTGTTCCTTTAGCCGGCTCTGCTGTTGCATTAAGTGCTGCTTACCTGAGGTGTATGCAGAACCGTTGAGTCTCGCCGCCTTCTTCATCTGTATCACCTTAAAAAATGCAAAAATATTAACATGTAAAGTAAAATTGCAATTTTCGCGTCACGATAATGCGCGATAGCCAAAAATCCATCTAGTTTTTAACGTTTTTTTTCAGTCTCCTTTAGGTAAATTAAGAAGGTTCTGTCTCAAATATTTAAAAACGCCTTATGAAATTGTAACATCGTGCTTGAATTATACAGAGCCACTCTTTCGCTTTCTTGAACGCAGTGGTTATTTCATTCTCATAAACTACACTCGCCGGTCAGTCGAGTTGGAGCTAGTATCGGATCTCTATGGGCTAAAACTACCGCGGACTCCTGCTTCGAGCCATCGCTTTAATAATATCGTCCAAAAACTTTGCATGGTGAGGAGAGGGGGCTGATTGATAGTGTTTTGATATCTTCCCTAGCTCTATTACCATGTTAGATTTCGCCAAGTTAGTGGCCAATACAATGGTAACAACTACCCAAACAGGAAAATTCCTTCCCCAAGCAATAGCATTTAAACGTCTATCAAACGAGTGAATAGAAAATACAATGTCAATGAACGTCTGTGTATGGCATGGACAAATTAAGATGATGTCATTAACATTACTAATTATTCCTTAAAATAGCGTTTATGTATCATTTGTTTAGGCTGTACACATTTGTTTCGTGTAATACAAACAAATATATTCATCTGCGCATACATAAATTGAAAAAGTGTTCGAGGCTACAACTAAGCTTGTGGGAGAGCCCAACTTCGGCATGAATGGCCACGGCCTTACAGAAAACTGGCGTGAAACAACCTCAGCGTTGTGTTTCACCGTATGAGTGAAATTACCAGAGGAACAATCCAATCCAATCCTAAAATATCCGAAACCCTTATCTACCTTAAAGGTCAGCAATGCACTCGCAACTCATTTGGTGTTACGGGTGTCTATGGGCGGCGTCGATTGCTTACCATCAGGTAATGAGGTGGCTAGTTTGCCTATCAAGTAAAAAAAAAAATAAGCCTTCATTAGACAGATCATAAGTACCTACTTTGCTAAGCTTGTTTGCCTCATCTTGGCTTAAAAACTATTAATTGTGGTTCATCCAATTAGAAATCTTTAAATAAATGGCAAAATCTTTCAATTTATCGGCTATATCTATTCATTAATTAGATACATACCTAATCCTTTCAAATTGATTTTTTGATGAGCATTCAAGTAGTGTGAATCTCGGCAACCTTTGATACTAGGAACTGATTAAAATAGATATTTTTAAAGTTCATTTATAGGTCGAAACAAATGTGTAAGATAATTTCTTCTATAAAAATACGAGTTCTTATTTTGGACCATGGACTGTGCGACAGTTGATGACTCTTTGTTTTGGGAATCATCCAAATTATTTCTCTCGCTATGAGTCCGATAAGAGGAAGTGTCAGTCTCTTACTGACTAAAAACCATCCCATTCCCTTTTTGTTTCGTTTGTTATTGACTAAGGCCTACGGAAATCGCTAATGGGCACGGAATCAGAAAAAGGTTCTTACGAATAAAAATGTTGAAAAAATAGAGGGGATAATTTACTCTTATTATGTTATGATAATTAATTTACCCTTTTAACCAACTTCTACGTGACCTAAACATTGACTTATTCTGCACAAAGGCGAGCGCAGTTATGCCCAGTTCCTATATTTAACGAATCGTCGTTATTTACGCATTACGACCAAATGACATTACGAATAGTTATCTTGACCGTCTACTGACGGTTAAAATATTTGTCGGAAAACCACAGACACCATAGATCTCCATACAATTCGCTTACCGATATCCGTTAGTTGCAAACCGCCAGTAAGTTGCACGACGAGATGTTTATTATAGGAACGGTTTTAGCTTACGAGTCGTATATAAACCTACTATTCGTAATTAAAACGGATCGTTTCTCAATTATAGGAACCGGGCGTTAGACGACTTTTAACTAAATCATTCTTTGATTCTCAGTAGCGGCTCAATAATATTGGGATGGATTTGGTATTTATTCATTTTTTTATATTAAAAAAAAACCTAATCTAAATACTTATCGATAGATGTAATAATTATATGTGAGGGCTTGACAATAGCAATTTAATAATCTAGTTTAAGTTATTAAGTACTATAAGTCTGTAAGCCTTCCGTTAATAAAATAAAAAAAATGCAATTTGTGACCCTATCGTGCACACCTAAGTGCATAACCACCAGTACTATATAAAAGTATTTTTATAGTTCTCACCTTATCGGACATATCATTGACAATCTTCACAAGTTCGTCTTGGCGTTTCTGATAGCCACACAATTTAAATATGAGTTGACTTTGCAGCCAAAACTTCTGGAATCTTCTAGTTACAATGTTCAGGATCTCGTCCACAGCGCGCATATATTTCTGAATGAATTGCTTGTCTTCGAAACCGGTCGAGAAACCGAATGCTGTTACTGAAAAAAAGTTATTAATTTATAGATGTCTATCGTTATTTAACTTGATAGATTACGAAGAACTGGCGTGGTTGGTTTAAGATTACTTAAAAGATACAATGTACACGCTTATTTTAACAAAAGGTTTGTGATTAAATGTCATATAGCCAAGCTTGGCACGATGAGTCGACTTGACCGAAGTGACACCACGGCCTCACAGAAAACCGACGTTTCGAAATGTGTGTGATGCCATTAGAGGCTTAATATTTTTCCATCCCCATCTCACCGCAATCCCTAAATTGGAGATTTAGGCGTTACCGGCATTTGAGGATTAGCGTTTTGGAGAAACGCTAGTCCTCAAATGCCGGTAACGCACTCGTAACATCTCTGAACTTGCGATTACTTAGTATCGGGTGACAAGTTTGATCGTTTGTCGACCGATCAAATAAATAAAAATAATCTATGTTCAGCGGGGATAGCGTAGCTTTCTAATATCAAAATAATTTTCCGAATTGGTCAAGTAGTGTCAGAGCCTATTCAATATAAATAATCAAATATTTCCTCTTTACAATCTTAAGTATAGATAAACATAGTGTTTAATAAATTCGCACATTGGTCATGTTTCTATTTTTCCTTGTTGATCTAGCCTAAAACGTACCTAGGAATTGTGTTTGGGTATCATTTAGCGATACTAACATGCGCTACATGCTAATTACTTAGGCACTAGATTCAAAAGCAAAGTCTGCGTCATTGGTCGAACCGTCATAGTTACGACAACCAATTATAAATATTATTTTTGAAAAAATAAACTGTGGTGTCACACTAGAATTTTGTCCTCTGTCCATGTACAAACATACAATTTCACATACACACACGACCCGGAACAACAATTTGCGGATCACACAAAGAGTTGTTTCGTGCGGAAATCACGTTGCGTAGTTGTTGATTTAATGAGTATTTATCGAATTTTTTTATAAAGTACGTTCGAAGTCCGAATTGCTACACGAAAGTTGGGCAATTGGCTCCTTTGCTACGTGTCGGGGTTTCGAATCCCGCATAAAACAACTCTTTGTGTGATCCACAAATTGTTGTTGTAGGTGTAGTATCTGTTTACCCACGACATTATGAGAAATTCCTCGTGTGTGTTTTTGATTTTTAAATTAAAATAAACGGAACAAAACCTTGTGTCCGATGTTTGGTTACCAGTCTACCACCTATTTCAAAGGACGTATGACGTAACTAATAAAAAATGAGTGTTAAATTGTATCAACACATATCTGCCTACCCTTTCATTGGAGGTTAATATGCGTTATGTTTTATCACATAAAGAGTCCGCAATTACGCCCTTAAAGGTTCTAGTTTATCAGAGAGCACTGGTGGACTGCCTTTTTTCATGTAGATTTGATAGGTCAGCAAACGATCTGATGGATTACCTGATGCTAAGAAACTGTTGCCGCCCATGTACAACGAACCGCAACACCGAAGAGTATGTTGTCGGCCTTTCGGGGATTAGGGTTTTGGTGATTTAGGGAGTGGGGAAAGCTTGAGCCTTCGTTAACCTCAATCACACGACCAAACACAACGCTGTCGTTGTTTCGGATTTCTGTGAGGCCTTGGCACCACTCCGGTCGAGTCGACGCAGGGTTCTCCCACGCTTAAAATTATATTTTTACAATGTTATGTAGGTACTTACAGCAAAATGTTTGCAAAGCGTTGTTCCTCAAATAATCAGTGTGATCAAATTTTCCTTTTCCAACTCTAGCTTTTAAATTCTCAACCAGCATCCTTGATTGGCTGTTGAATACTTCTAGAAAGCTGAGCATCACTGGTAGACTGAAGGCGGGAGTCAGCAGCTTGCGGTGACGTCTCCATATCTCACCTGAGTACAATTAAGAAGTTTTTAAACTCTACATAGTATTAAATAAAGTCGCTTTTTCTGTCCCCATATCCCAATGTATGCTTACATGTTTAAAACTACGCATCGGATATTTGATGCGGTTTTTTAATAAATAGAGTGATTTAAGAGTAAGGTTTATATGTATTAATATCCATAAATTATTGGATAAATTTAATATCAGGGGCGGGTCGCTAATAAAAAATAAAATAATCAATTACATAACAGGCCAGCATCTGTAAAGAGGTTGCAAGTTGATAGTTGCGATCCAAAGAGTTTCTATTGTTATTTGGTCGTTTCAAACCAGAGCAAACGGTTCATGATAATGATCGTATGACCCATTAAACTTCATTACGATGCAATACTGCAACTTGCACACGAAAACACAGCTAGACGTCTGCCCTAATAGACCTTATGTGTGGTGGTCTAATGGGTAATTGAGACGTTCGCGGATCTCGACGATTTTACGTACGCTGGTTTGAAATGTGCATAAAAAAATATCCGTCGGTGATCTGGGTGGTAGATAAGGTAGTTCTTAAAAATGTCATGTTTGCAACTGTACTAACCTGACGAAGTGATCAATCCTTCTCCGAGCCAAGGTTTGGCATAATCGTAGGTGAAGTGCTTCTGTAGGCAGGCATTCGCAGCCGTCAGTGCATCTTCAGGGTCCGTGATTGCTGCGATAGATATTAAGGGTTAATAGCAAATTATGAGATAATGAATTTTGTGCCGTGTGTGTGCTGACACGACATTTTTTATTTTTTCCCTAATAATAAGCCTTTGACTGCCGACAGAAAACTGTTAATGGATAATCTTCCGCAACTGTTGGTCACCGAGATCAACGGGGCGTTGAAGGTTAATATAAAAAGGTAATGTCTCAAAAAATAAAAAATATGGCATCGATAACACAACAAAACTCTTTTGTGACTTGATATCAGTAGAGCTTTTCTCAGGTAAATTATGTAAATCGCTATTTTTCATTAGCCAACACCAGCATTTACTTTTATGCGTTTACAAACATACAATTTCACAATCATATCACACATGACCTACAAACCCGGAACTACTATTTCCGGATCACACAAAGAGTTTTTCCATGCGGGAATCTAACCCGCTACACGTAGCACGGCAGCCAAGCCCAGTGCCCGGCGTAAGGGCTACTGACGCCCGTTCGGGCGAAAATATTGTAGCGCTCACTTCAGGGAAGCAATGTCAAGTTTTAGCTTTTTGCTGATCGTATTGATATCGTTAGAGTTACTCCTCGACCACAAACCCTTAAAAAATCCATCTAAAAAAAATATTCATAAAAATATGCATATGCACAGAGCGTAGAGCACAGTTCTGAGGGTTTGCACCAAAGAAATGCAAGAGACCACAACTTCAGGCCTTGGCGCCCCCAGAATTTGTCGCCCTGGGCCATCGCCCCATCACGCCCCCCCCCCCCTAACTGGCCAACCGGCAGTGGCCAAGCCACCGCGTCAACTGTGCACTCAAAGTAAATTATCCATAATTTCTCCTCAATAGTAACAATTTTTGTAATATTTTTTTAAACACTTACCGTAATATATTCGGTATCCCATAATCAGAACAAGAACTCCCCCTCGTTCCATGGCTTTCATCGCGACGACTTTTGCAAAATTCCACAAGTCTGTCAGGCAAACAAGTTTTCATTAATAAGTTTTACTAGTTACCGCCCGCGTGGTATGCCAAAGTCAAAATCAAAATCGTTTATTCTAAATAACTTTTGAATCGTCGAAATATAATACCTAGTAGGTACTGTCTGTTCGTCAGTGGAGGTGGAGTTGAGCTAGGAGATCTGTGTTGATAAAAAACCTATAGTACCTACTATCCAGGATTTCATCTATCTACATCCAGTCGTTTTTGCGTGAAAGTATAAAAAACATACATCCATACATTCACACAAACTTTCATATTTATAATACTGGTAGGATTATATAATAAGTGTGGGAGAGCCAAGCTTCGGCACGAATGGGTCGGCTCGACCGGAGTGATACCACGGCCTCACAGAATACCGGCGTGAAACAACCCACAGTGATGTGTTTCGCTGTGTGAGTAAGGTTATCGGAGGCTCAATCCCTTCCCTTCCCCTATCCCTTCCCGATCCTTATATCCACAACCCTTATCCCCAAAAGGCTGGCAACGCATTCGTAACTCCTTTGGTGTTGCGGGTGTTCATGGGCGGCGTCGATTGCTTACTATCGGGTAATCCGTCTGCTCGTTTGCCGACTTATACCATAAAAAAAAGATTACTTGCATCCTGAATCTTCGCACGAATGAAACAAAAATAAATTCATTATTTCAATCAATTATCTCATCTCAGTAATAGTCATATTTGTTTTCTTATCGTACCGCCACGGCATATCTACATATCTACATAAGGGTTGCTATTTCCCGATTGCTCCTATATATTTAATGTATTTTGCATTGTGAGTGAGCCATGCTTCGGCACGAATGGGTCGGCTCAACCGTAGTGAACCACGGCCTCACAGAAAACCAGCGTGAAACAACCACAGCGTTCTTTATATCGCCATGTGAGTGAAGTTACCGGAGACCCAATCATTTCACTCTCCAATGCCCTAATCCCCAAAATCCTGGCAACGCACTCGACGCTGATTGCCTACCATCAGGTAATCAGTTAGCTAGTTTGATTTATATCGTACCGTATCGAAAATAATGATAAAAAGAATTTCTTAGAATCTGTCTAGTCATTCACGCGTGATTCCATGGTCAAGGGAAATTAGGATTAATTTTAATTTTGTAAATGTTGTTATGTATCTAAGTAACCATTCCTTACGAAAATATTTGTTCCGCAAACAATAATTGTTAAGTAAACATCCATACATTTATATCTGAGCACGAACTTATGTATGAAGTTTCTATTAAATGTAACGTTATTTATTTATTTACAATAATTATTTTATTTGTAATCAATTTAAACAAAATATTTAATAAAATAGTTCAACGTTTTTAAAACAATATAATTGACAACCAAAAATAACAATAGTAGATACATAATATTGTTTGCATATTAAAATTTACCTTTATTCCGGTTCAGGAATTTGGTGGTAATTAATCTTCCAAATTCAAAATTTAAAAAATAATATACCGATATTAATATTCCATTTTCGAAACTAAATTCTATTTAAAAGCTATTTAAATTGGTACTTACATACTCCATCACCTATTAATAGATGCAAATGTCCAATAATAGGTAGGTGTCCAGGATAAATCGGGGGTAGTTTATGTTTCCCATCCACTACGAACACAAGCCACGCCCATATTGCGCAGAGGCACATTAAAACACAAAATAATAAAACACCAATCATCTTGCGAGTACTTGTCTGAATATCTGTCAAGAACGGAGCAAACTGCAAACTTAAGCTCAAATTATATATATATACAGAACACAGCCGTCGGCAGATCTGTCTTCATGACAAAAAAATTAAGATCTTTCTGTCCGCTTGTATATCACTCTGAATAGTGGTCACTTGTTATTATATGAAGTATTATCTATTTATAAATGCGGTATTGACTCGATATTTTTTGTTAGTAAATAATTTTATCGCAAAAAAGCTATAAAATTATTTTAAAATAAAAATAAAATAATTTCATAGCTTAAAGCTATAAAATTATTTCATAAATAAAATCATTTCATAGCGTTTAGCTATAAAATTATTTTATTGATTGTTAGAATTGGTACTCCTATTTTGAACAGGAGTTGCTTTATTTGTGGGTTAAAATTAGAACAGAATATTTTAATATTTCTTTAAGTCTTCCATGACACAACTACTTTGATAAATTTTATGTATGAACTAGTAGTTTTTGATTTGAGTATGACATGAAAATACTTACAATAAAATGTTTTAGGTAGCTCATTTGAATTCGAACGCATTTACAATTACATATTGTGAACTCGCCCCGCATTAAAATACACAAAATAGCTATTTTTCGAAATCGGCTTATATTTTGGAACGTCATATTTTTGCGTTCGTTGGTTGCTAAGGGACCAAACCACTTCGGAGGTAGGAGGAGGATAGATACTTAAATAAGAAAAGCTCTCATTCAATTTCCTCATTCTTGCGGACTGACGGAAAATCATTGTTCGACGTTAGAAAAGATGTAGATACATAGATAGTTCTTTAAAAGAAAATCTATGTGATTTAAAGGAAAATTAATCTGTTTCATATTTAAAGATTAGCTTATCTATGTTTTGTTAGCCTTGCCTCTAATAAATAAAAATAACGATACAAATTATACCCGGATTTTTTCATGTTGGGTGCGTTTACAAACATACAATTTTAGAAAAAACTTCCACGTCCAGACAAAACACTTATCAACAAGAGAAAAAAATAAATAAAGACGTAGTAGTATTGGAAGCCGCAGAGGCCAGCCAATAAGGGGCACCCATATTGGGTAGGAGCGAACGAGATGGTATTTCCTGTAAGAGAGACCTAGATACTCGAAAAATATGACAGAAAAAGTACCTGATAATGATTTTCTTTTTATGTTAAGTAGGTATAGGTCGAATAACAAGCAGACAGACCATCTGTTCGATTTTGTTGGATTGGGGGGAGAGAGAAAATGATTGGGCCTCCGGTAACCTCACTGACATGACGAAACACAACGCTGTGGATGTTACACGCCGGTTTTTTATCGTCGTGATATCACTACGGTCGAGCCGAAGTATTCTGAAGGTCCCTTCTGGGCGGGAGGCATTATTAGATGGTTTTCCGTCTATGCAAAATATTCAAATATGTATAATTTATTTTGCGCTTGCACATCCGCAACAAGTTAGTTTATATTTACAAAATGAGGATTCGTTAATGTTGTCAATTTTGATGAGATTGCACTTGTAATAATAATTGTAGATTCGTCATATGGGGATGAGGTTACTGAAGACCCAGTACTCCAAAAACCGGCAACGGACTTGTGCAACGTGGAACGGACATAATATTTTTTTAATTTTCTTCAATTACACTAGAATGTATGCTATTTATATGTTAGCATTAAAACCCACAGGACTAACCTTACAAAAATCTCTTATGTGATATAGTTATGTCATCGTTAAACCTATTGAATCAACCACGACTGCACGGTTGGTGCGGTGGCTGGGCAACTGGCTGCCGTGCAACGTGTCGCGGGTTCGATTCCCGCACGGAACAACTCTTTGTGTGATCCTCAAATTGTTGTTCCGGGTCTGGGTCTCATGTGTATGTGAAATTGTATGTTTGTAACCGCACCCACGACACAGGAGAAAATCCTAATGTGGAGCAACGTTTTAAAAAAAGCATAAAGCATAAGCATTAGCATAAAAACCATAGAAAGATTTTTCAATGTGTCTTGTAGAGAAATCATTTAAATCGCGAGTAGAGCTGTACATACAAATACTATATCAAAATAATACTTTAAACAATATTCAATTTGCATGAAAATATATGTAAATTATTGTATAGAAATTATGTTATAATGCTCGCGTCAATTTTTCAATTATTATCCGTGAAATCGAATTAATATCTACCTATTATTTGGTATTCGGTGAAAAAAATTGTTTTGCTATATGTTATATTGTATTTTGACTAGCCGGAATTATTACTAAACCCGCACAGTTGTGTACTTTACCCCATTTATTCTAAAAAAAATCGTGACATTCTGTTAAAAGAAAAACATTGAAATTATTTGTAAAAAGAAATCGAATTCTTAATTTGAAAAAAATAGGGTTTCGAATTTTGTTGTCAATAAATCTAAATTTTATTTTGTATGAGGAGTCAATTCGTTTTTCAAATTATTCACTTTAAATAATTGATTGTGTTATGTAAGTACCACAAATTATCGTAATTTTCTGTCTATTAAAGCATACAGCATATACTTATGTCAATTAAATCAATTGTCATTTAAATTTAAAAACAAAATATTTTCAACATCAAATCATAGATTGTTTTTGATTTTTAATAAAAAAAAAAATGATCTTTTTGACGAGATCTTGAGAAAAAAAATTGAAAAGTAAATTACAGTGCGTTTGAGTGTGTTAATTGGCGTTGGCGACGCTAATAAACATTACTTGAGAATTTATTAATTAAAATATACAATAATATGTAGCAATTCCAATAAATAAGTAATTTTATTGCACACAGGTGTAACAAATTTTAATATACAATTTTTCAAATCATAAGTAGGTTAGGTATTTTGGAGTAGGTATCTGTTTAATGAATACCAATGGACACGTCGTCGTCGCGACGTCACACGATTAGTATTAATTTTCGACCTCCCCAGTGAAGTTATAATCTATTTTTAATCTTCAACGATTCAAAATATTTTACTTAGTTTTGAGTTAATTTCTAACTAAACTAAACAAACTATCCAAATTATTGTTGGATTTAATCAGAATATTGACATTGGTTCTATTAAATTGAGAGAATAGTTTTTCTAATCATTTTGTAATTTTTTTTTTGCTACAAACCTTTTTGCCGTTCAATGAAAATTGCGACATGTTGTCATCAAATTACTTCTCTTGTCACACCGGCTGAACGTTGGCTCTGGAGGACTCAGTCTGTGGTGGTCTATTAGTTCTTTGGGCCGCTCGCGGAACGCTTATGCTAAATCTCTGGTTCTGGTCTGGCGTCGAAGTACTCTTGCTCGCCGACCGCAGACTCAGGCTTACGATGCCCGAAGATCGTTAGATCTCCGACGCCCGGAATGTCGCCTACTGTGGCGACTGGTGCGTGAGGAGAATAGTTCCCTCAAGCGTCCCGCCTCCTCTTTTGCGATCAACACTGCTTCGCAGAAGTAGGAGACGGCTTCCCAGTTCTTCTCAGTTAGCAACATGGTCTCGATTAAAGCAGGACGTAAAAGGCAGCCACTAGCTGCCGATCTTTTCCCTGAGGACACAGCCTCTTTAACTAGCCCGGCCCGGCCTAGAGTAGAATAAGGAACGGGGGGCTAATTAGCCTGTAAGAGTCTGACATTCCCTCCCGACCCTAGTCGGGAGAAGTCATTTGATAAATTTTCCCTCACAAAAAAGTGGCTGAAAAACATTAACACGAAGTATTTAACGTAAAATATTAAATAATTTGTTATTTTATTTAGTATATTAATAAAAAATTAAACAAAAATAATTAAACGTATTATTTCATAACAATACAGTTAGGTTCGCTCCGTGTGGCTTGATCAGTTAAGGTCAAGTGGTGATTCCGTTCTGTTGTCAATTATTTGTAAACGGTTTTTATTATACTCATAGGTATGTCAAGATGTTTCTCAAGTTAATGGGTTTAACAATATATCAAAATGAGTTAAGAAGTATTTGTGTGGTGTACTGTCTATACATATATAAATCTAAATAGATTTGATTGTTTGTTTGTAAGTACGTCTTGAAACTAGCTCACAAATTACCTAGAATTTTTATTAATCACATTGGCAAGTATAATTTCTATGAATGACATATTCCTGTTTTTTGACCAAGATTCTAGATTTTCCGACAAAATGGTGGCTAACTTGAAATATTTATATTCCACTATTCTAAGCAATTGCGTTAAGCGAATTACTAGCCATTGTGCGCTATCTATAGTGATTTAATTGGGTTTTGTTCAATATGTATAAATTTATATTTTACCGCTGCATCGTAAATAAAGGGATTTTCACATTATAATTTTTTCATTCATTCTTTCATCCATTCTTTCATTCATTCTTTCATCCACTCTTTCATTCATTCTTTCATTATTCTTTTTATTCTTTCATCCATTCATTCATTCATTCATCCATTTATTAATTAATTCATTCTTAATTGATTTGGTTCTTTCGTTGTTTGTTTCGGTAATTTTTTATTGTTTTGTTTTTATATTTGTTTATTTGCGCCAACCTTTTTCTTCTTTTTTATTTATTACTTTTATTAGCAACGCGTGTAAAACCGCTGGCTGATGCAAGTTAGTTCATAGCTGTAACATTTTGCGGTTTTGTAATGAATCATAATCTACTTTAAAATTATGACGAATAGCTTGTTATTAAAGGATTAAATATTGAAGTGGATGTGTAATCTGGGTGGCTCTTAAGTGGGGTCATCGCACTAACCAGAACTACCTGTTTCTTTTTATTTATTTTTTATAATTGCAGGGTTCCGTCCGATAAATCAGTTTCAGTTTCCGTCGAGTGTTATCGCGGTTATCATAAAACCTGTACTTACCTTTTTGAAAAGTAAAAAAAAATGGTCACCCTTTTTGTTCAGAGCAGGTCCAGGACCAGTTTGTGTGAGTAGGTACTCTTTTTTTGCATATTTGTTTCTTTTTAATCTTTTAATTGAATTGCTTTTTTATTTATTGTATTTAATACTAGCGATCAATCCCGGCTTCGTACTGGCACTGGCACATATTTAATTGATGTTGTTATGCATAAACCTTACTCTTCCATCACTTTATCTATTAAAAAAACCGCACCGAAATCCGTTGCGCAGTTTTCAAGATTTAGGCAGAGGGATTTAGAGACAAAGAAATAAGTTTTGTTTCTTTTTTATGTGATACGGCAGCAAAGAAGTAGCCGGATTACCTGATGGTAAGCAAACGGTGCCGTCCATGGACACCAGCAACACCACAGAAGTTGCAAGTACGTTGCCGTCCTTTTGGGCATTCAGGAATCCCCAATTCATGGGTGAGATGTAGGGTTGAGCCTCCAGTTACCTCAATCTTACGAGGAACCACAACGCCATGGCTGTTTCAAGCCGGTTCTGCATGAGGCCGTGGTACCGCTCAAGTCGAGTCAGCCAATTAATAGTGCTGAAGCTTGGCTCTGCTATAGATACATTTGTGTCGAAAAAAATGTATAAGTATTCTTTTTTGATTGGTAATTATCAGAGAGCAGTTAGAGAGAGTAGGGGGCAATTTAGCCTGAAAATTTGTAAGCCCAAGGGCATGAGCACGTGTGGTGAGGGCTTAAGGCTCTAGCTTCACGTACAAGAGCCGAGACGTGACGCGTTTAACATCCTGACTTAATGCCGTGCAAAGAAATTGTTCTACGGTTCGTTGGAGAAATAGGGGAGAGATTCCATTTGAAGGAGCCTGTTGTATAGGGGTAAGTGAAGATTTGTTTTTGTTTGTGATTATTGAGAAAAGCTTATATTTTCTTTTATTGCTTGTATTTTCTTTAATTTTACTAAAGATTTATATTACTTTTTAATTACATTTTTTTTTCATGAAAATTTTGTTTTATTATATAATTTGAAAAAAAATTATGTTGTAATATATAATTTATAAAAAGTTTATTAAATTTTAATTAAATTTTTATATAATTTTTTTATAAAAATTTTGTTTTTTATTTCAAATTTTTTTACTATTAAAATTTTATATCTTAAAATAGGTGAATACTTTTTTGTATGGATGTAAAATAGAAAGACAAAATACACTGAATCCTTGAAAATCATATAAGTTATAAGTTACTAGGTTTCTGCTTACGTTGAGACGAAAAAATAAATAAACGCAGGTAAATACAGGATACAATGGATGTCGTGGACGATAATTGCGACTAAAGTAGTAAGTCATATTAGCGAAGATTATATTAACATTCTAATTTAGAGTACCAATAGAAGCAATTTGTAATGTAATACTACTTAATGTCATAAAACTTGAATATATTTTTTTATTACAAGAATTTTGGACACTGATACCCGGTTACCGAAATCCTGATCAATGTTAAAATCAACTAAATAGGTGTCAAATCTCTTGTCAAGTCATCTGATTGGTTGTTGACAATTCAGTCAACCAATCAGATGACTTGACAAGAGATTAAAATGATTTTAACATTGATCGGCCTTTCGGAAATCGGGTGTGACTGTGAGATCAGATATTTTAATGTGACTTTGGTTCAGGTGACGTTGAACATCCTGTACTTACTGTTTATTTGTGACAATACTATGTCTAAGTGAGTCAGAGTAGGTATTTATTTCAATTAATATGAAGAAATTGAATTTAGAAGACTACGTGATGTAACGTAATTATTATAATGTAATGGTATGTAATGTAATGTGTAAGTGGAGTAAAATTGTGAAAGTGGAGTAAAATTGTGACAGACTGGTATCCCAGAGATGGAAAAAGGAAACGAGGAAGACAACTCAAAAGATGGGAAGACGAGCTAAAACTTACAGCCGGCCCTTACTGGAGAAGGGTTACCAGAGATAGGATACAATGGAAAATGTTAGAGGAGGCCTTTGTCAGAAGGCACACTGAACTAAGGGATATCCTCTAAAAGAGGAAAACAAATACCTTACACACAACATATGCCAACGTCCATACCATGTTGAAAGCACCGGTTCTCGTCCGATCACCGAAGTTAAGCAACATCGGGCGCGGTTAGTACTTGGATGGGTGACCGCCTGGGAATACCGCGTGACGTTAGCTTTCCAGAGTGGAAACAACGACTGTCGCAACCGAGGGCCGGGCACGCTACCATAGCAGCGGTAAGACCCCTCTTTGAGGAGTGGCTTGAGAGACGCCACGGCGTCCTCACCTTCCGTCTGACGCAGGTGCTTACCGGGCACGGCAGCTTCGGTAGGTTCCTGTTTCGGATTCAGCGGGAGGAAACGCCCGAGTGTCGTCATTGTGAGGACCACCTAGAGGATACGGTGGAGCATACGGTAGCGGTATGCCCTGCATGGGCTGAGCACCGCCGTATCCTCAGGGAAGTGATCGGCGGCAGCGACCTCTCGCGCCCGGCCTTAGTCGAGACCATGGTGCGGAGTGAGAGGAACTGGGACGCCGTCTCCTCCTTTTGTGAAGCAGTCATGCTCGCAAAGAGAGAGGCGGCCCGCGTGAGGGAGCAATCCTCCTCACGCCCCAGCAGCCGCAACTGGCGACACTACGGGCGTCGGGGATCGAGGGACGATCTCCGGCCACCGTAAGCACGGGCCTGCGGTCGGCGAGTAAGGGCAGCTCGCCGCCCGACCAGAACCAGGCCCGAGCGTACGGCGCGTACCGTTCCGCGCGCGCCTCAAAGAGCCATTCGACCACCACAGACGGGGCCCTAAAGGGCTGAGGTTCAGCCGGGGTTGCGGGGTAAGCGCAATGAGGTACCGCGACCTCGGCACAGAGCAGGAGAAGGAACAGGGGGGTTTTTAGTCAGTAAGAGTCTGACACTCCCTCCTGCCCGGCCCTGGGCGGGAGAAGTCATTTGATGATTTTCCCCTCACAAAAAAAAAAAAACACACAACATATGAAATTCAGGATAGAGAGCTTATTGATTTGATTTGATTGATGTAATGTAATGTAATTTTTTTTTATTATGTGATAGGTCGGCAAACGGGCAGACGGATTACCTGATGGTAAGCAATCAGCGCCGCCCATGGACACCCGCAACGGTATTGGGCCTCCGGTAACCTCACTCACACGGCGAAATACAACGCTGTGGTTTTTTCACGCCGGTTTTCTGTGAGGCCGTGGTATCACTCCGGTCGAGCCGACCCATTCGTGCCGAAGCTTGGCTCTCCCACACTTAAACTTAACTTAAAATATAATCAGAATCCAAACTAATACATATTATAAATGCGAAAGTAACTCTGTCTGTCTGTCTTTTCTTCACGACTAAACTAGTGAACCTTGTATTTGTATTGGTGCAGACTTAGTTTGGAACTCGAGAAAGGACATAGGATAGTTTTTAAACTGAAAATCTGCAGGAAGTCACTATTGCAAGCGAACAAAGTCGCGGGCAAAATGTAATGTAATAAATGTAATTAAAATTTAATGTGTTGTATATTGTGTATCATATGTATAAGAGTGTCGTGGTGGCCCGGAGGTTAAGGAGCCCGCTTCTCATGCATGAGGGTGTGGGTTCAAAACCTGGCAAGTACCAATGTAACTTTTCCGAGTTATATGCACTTTCTATGATTATTTAGACACCACTGACATACGGTGAAGGTAAACATCGTGAGGAAACCTGGACTTACAATTTCTAATTATAAGTTTGAAATTGCCAACCCGCATTGAGCAAGCGTGGTGATTAATGCTCATACCTTCTCCGTGTGAGAAGAGGCCTTTGCTCAGCAGTGAGGACTTATGGGCTGATGATGATGATGATGATGATGATGATGTATCATGTAAGTACCTTGATATCTCATACTATACTGTGCTATCGGAAGTTATGTTGTATTACATCGTGGTGGCCTTCAGGTTAGGGCGTCCGCTTCTAATGCATGAGGATTCCGAAGTCGTAACTAGGCAAGTACTAATATGATATTTTCCGAGTTATACCACCACCATCATCAGCCTGATGTCGTCTACTGCTGGACATAGGCCTCCACAATTGCATGCCACTGAGCTCGATGTTCAGCTCTTCTCATCCAACCACTGCCAGCCACCCTGAGGATGTCGTCAGTCCACCTAGCTGGAGGGCGCCCTACACTACGTTTGCCTATTACGTTTCCGACTTATACGTACTTTCTAAAGTTATTAATTTTTTACACGGACAAACAGTTAAGGAAAATATCGTAATTTCTTAATGTGCGTGCAAACATGAGCAAGCATGGTGATGCTCGACCTTCTCCATGTGAGAAGAGGCTTTTGCTCAGTAGCGGGCACTTATAGGCTAATGATGTGATGTTTGTGGCTTAACATAATAACATCATTAAAAATTTTGATAAAATTATCAATCACGAATTCAAATTAGGTACAACACGCTAAAGGGCTTACTTAATAAAAATAAAAAATATATTTATTTGTTTTTATTTCAACTTACTTATATATTTTTGATTCCATTTAGTTCACATTGAGTAAAATATTAATTTTTGACATAATGTTGGTGAACTAGATCACGCTTTTGTAGCTCACGTATATTTCTTTTCAATGCAACACGTAGGTAAGTTGGAAAATCTGGTTACGTATGTATGTTAATGCTTTATTTACAATGAGTCAAGTAAATACATTACAATACATATAATGTAATCACTACTGTCAGCGAGCATGCAGGCGTAACAGTTCAATATCATTAAAATATTTACTTATTATAATTTATGTTAGAACGCATGTACATTATTTAATGTTTGACCTCTAGTTTAATTTCTATAAAATATTTTATTATTATAACTTAAAATTAATTTATTCATAAACTAAATAATTTTTAAGATAATTTAAAGCATCGATCGATTTATTTTTTTAATCTAATTCCTCCTTTCTAAGCTGACGAGGGATCCGGAGACTGGTTTTAGCAAGAAGTCTATCTTCAACTTCAGGTCGTTGATGTCAGCTTTGATCTTGAACCGCCGGAGTACGTGTGACAGTGTGGTCTTCATCGATAATGTAGCGAAAGTCCTTCCTGTAAAGAAAATGTGGTATTTTGATTATTTTATCGTTTTTTGTTTTAAACGCAGATTACGTTGAACTATCTAAAAGCTATTGCCTGAAAGGGCATCAGACTAAATAAAAAACAATTAAGTAAAAATTGTTGGGAGAGATCCATTTTAGAACAGTAGAAATGTGGATGGTGTAGTTCAGGGAATTTAATAAGAGTAGACACCGGTGTGAATGATGTGGTGGCCCGGATGTTAAGGCGCCTACTTCTCGTAAATGATGGTGCGGATTCGAAACCTGACAAGTACCTACCAATGTGACTTTATCCGAATTATGTGTACTCTCTATGATTATTTAAACATCACTGTCATATTATGGTGAAGGGAAACATCGCGAAATAAAAGTTTGAAATTGCCAATCGGCCTTGAGCAGGCGTTGTGATTAATGCTCAAACCTTTTCCAGAATTGAGAATTGACTTGAGAATAGACCTTCGCTTAGTACTGGACACTTATAGGCTGATGATGTGGTGTGATGTGTGAACCGAGGTATATACACATTTTCATAGTTTGCCTTATGGGGTAAAAGGGTACGCAATAGCTATTGCGTTACGAATATCCGATTTATACGAAACTAGCTACTCGCGCGGTTCCATCCGCTGTTTGGCTCCATTTGATCGGAGCGTGATGTTTCACAGCCTATATAGCACTTAGGAACATTGTAGCCATCTATCAGTTAAAAATATTTGGTAATCCGATCAGCGGTTTCAAAGATTACACCCTACATACAAACTTACAAAATTTTACCTCTTTATAATATTAGTTTAGATTTATACATACCCATGCAGGCTCTCTTTCCAATACTAAATCCAGCGAACATGTTAGGGTTGGGGGCGTTGTTAGGGTCCAACCAGCGCTCAGGCTTGAACTCCCTTACGTCTGGACCCCAGCTCTCATGGTAGTGGATCCCGTAGATCAGCAACGCACATTGACTGCCAGCGCGCATCGTGAAGTTCTCTGTTAAATGAAATGATTGACATTATGAAATTGTATAGGAATACTATTACTTCTAATCACTTTCAATCGTCGTGGTGGCCCGGAGGTTTAGGTTCTCATGCATGAGGGTTCGAAACCTGGCAAGAACCATTGTGACTTTTTCGAGTTATATGTACTTTCTATGATTATTTACACGCCACTGACATACGGTGGAAGGTAAACATTGTGAAACCTGGACTTGTTGAAGTTTGAAATTGCCAACCCGCAATGAGCAAGCGTGGTGATTAATGCTCTAACCTTCTTCGTATGAGAAAAGGCCTTTGCTCAGCAGTGGGTACTTATAGGCTGATGATGATGACGACTACTACTTAGTTAGTTAAATATAGGTATTTTCTTTTATGTATGAGAGTCCATGATTCGACATAAATGGGTCAGATTAACTAGACTGTTACCACAACGTTATTAACAATGCCGGTTTTATGTGTTAGGTACTAAGCTGTTTGACTTTTGGTATTGTGGTGGCCCTTCTAGAACCCTCCATGGGTTCTAAACCTGGCAAGTAGGTATCATTATGATTTTTAGTTTTAGTAGAGCTATGTGTACTTTCTAAGTTCATTAAGACGCCATGGACCATGGTGAAGAAAAACATCATGAGGAAAGCTGGACCTATAATTTTTTATTGTCTACCGTCAAGTGATTGTCTTTTTAAAATATTCGGAGACCAGACTTTATGAAGATAGACGGTAAATATTTTTAAGTAGTGCAAAAAAAAACCCTTCTAAATAAAAAGAGAAATTTCTCTCACGTTACCTACATTTCGTTTTAGCGCCCTTACAGCAATGGCGCCAGGTGCTTCACCGTCCTAGTTACATTATGTTTTAGCGTCCTTACTGTAATGATGCTTCACCGACATGGCACCGGCTTTGAACGCTTGTGGAGTCAGAACGTGCAGAATTAGAAATATGGCTATATCCTTTACCTTTGATTGAATTTTATTATATTTATTTTGAACTTTTTTGCAGTACCAGCCTTGGCAATGTTTTACAATGTGGTGGGATAGGTTTTTATTTAAACAAATGAAAAATGAGGTAAGGAACGATAATTTGCTTACACCGAATATGCCGCAAAATACACCAAAATAGGTTTGGTGCATATACGTTAATAATGCGAAATAAATAAAAATGAACAAAAAGTATCGAAAAAAAACCGATTTGAATAAGAAATTGCATAAAATCATATACCAACTTATTTAACATACACCTTACCTATTGAATTCTATAAATTAAATGTGATTAATTTCATTAGCAAATAATTAATATGTATGACATGCGTTTATACATTATTCAACAAAAAAATACATACATACATCATGCTTCACACATAACTTGGGTCATTGTTTTTAGTAGCATGTCCATTGTATTCTATGTAAATAAAAAGTAGTAGGTATTTTTTACTTTAATGCATTGTCGTTAAAGCATTGTTCACTTTTTTCATATTTTGCATGTCTAAAGATCATGTTTTTTTCTTATCCAAACTATAATAATATTATAAATGTGAAAGTAATTTGTCTGTCTTTTCTCTACGCCTAAACTACTGAACGAATTTCTGTGAAATTTGATTTACAGACATAGTTTGGAACTCGAGAAAGGACGTATGGATAGTTTTTACCTATACAAAAAATCTGCTGGAATGGAAGTCACTGTTTCCACGCGAACAGGGTGGCGGGTAAATGCTAATAATTTATAATTTCTGCGATTTACCTTTTTATGCATATTTTGTACCTACTTTTTTGAGGTAGAATTTAACATGAAATGACATTTCTCGCCGAGGTTAAAATAAGAAAGAGTGTCAGACTCTTACTGAGTAAAAACCCCTCGTTCCTTCTCCTGTTCCAGGACGAGGCCGCGGCATCTTTTTGAATATCAACTCCGGCTGAATATCGACCCTGTGGTCTATTGGCTCTTTGAGACGCGTAAGGAACGCTAAGCGCTGCATACCTGGTTCTAATCGGGTGGATAATATTTTTTCCGCTGTATTGATTCTATCAATGTTATGCAACGATTAATGTTGTTATTTATTTTATTTTGAGAATAAGTTAGCAAAATAGCACTCGATTCGCCCACTGTAAATGCTTGCTTGTTCGCCATTTCAGGCATTTAATAAAGTATACCCAAAAATAGTAAAAAGTTTAAAAAATGCTTTACAATACGATATATAAAAGGTGAAAAAGAAATTGAGCAGACTAATCAGTCATTAATGATCTGACCAAAGTATTTCTAAAACTTCAAGGATGTCGTTCCCAACGATGACCGGTACGGTCCTTGCTCATTTTTTTGAAACGTTGCTTCACACTAGGATTTTCTCTTGTGTCGTAGGTACGGTTACAAACATACAATTTCACATACACATGACAACCAGAGCCGGAACAACAGTTTGTGGATCACACAAAGAGTTGTTTCGATCGGGAAACGAGCCCGCGACACTTTGCATGGCAGCCAGTTAGATTTACATTTATTTTACAATTATCATTTAGCAGTGAGGGGATGAATTACTTGATGGTAAGCATTGGACACGGACACCCGAAACTTCAGAGGAGATACAAGTGCAGTGCCATTCCTTTGACCTGTAGTTAAAAAATTGAAGATTGGGTATGTAGTTGGTATGAATTTGGCCTGTCCTAACCCCACTTTCACGGTGAAACCCAACTGTGTTGTTGTTTAATGCCGTATTCTGTATGGCTATAGGACGCTGGTCGAGCTGGCTTATACGTGCCGAAGCATGGCTCTCCTTCTGTTAACTACATTTTCCTAGTGACCTTAGCAAATGTTGTCCGAAAAATAATGTTAGTCTTTAACTTACTCAGTTGAACATCCTTGTCAACATATCGTAATCCAACAGGACCAGTAGGGATCAGTCTTAAAGTTTCTTTGATGACGGCATCAGTGTACACCATTCTAGGCAGGTCATCTTTTGTAACGTCACGGTCCGTACCTTCGAAAATTTCTTCTAACCTGTGGAAATATAAGAGTCGAATGAAGTTTCGTATTTTTAGACGAATTTTTAACGGTAGCATGTTTGAACAGCTAACAGCTCTTGAAACATTAAGGGCAGAGTAATTCAATTTTGCCATAAAATCCTAGTCGAAAATGGCCGCATAATAGCTCACCATCAGCCAATATAGTGGTCTACAATTACCTAATGAAAATATTGGAATCATCAATTCAATCAATCAATCACTAAATCATATAAAAAGAAGTCACTTTCTATATTGAACACAACGATACTGATTATGATGCGCGGTTTTTTAAAGATAGAGTGAGTGAAGGCGAAGTTTTATATTATGTATAAAAACATACATTAAATAGTAATGAAATTAGGTATCAGCATTGGCAACATACACCTACTCGAAGCCGGGGCACACGTTACTAACTAGCCTACAAGTTCCCACTGCTGAGCAAAGGCATCTTACTCGTATTTCTTATTGTCAGGGTGTTCAGGTTCCCAGAAAAGAAAATTTTAAGAAAGTAGAGGAAGGAAGAAATTGGGATGTATTGACCCCTTCGTCGTAAGCAGAGTAGTTAGACAAAAGAAAGCAGGGCCGGCAGATATTAACATAAATCTCACTTACTCTTTGTACATTTTCTCTTGTGCCTCAGGGTATGTTCCTAACATCATCATGATGTAAGCCAGCAAGCAAGAAGTAGTGTCATAGGAAGCTACGATAGCGGTGTCCACCTCTTCTCTGATCTCCTTATCAGTTAGAGTATTTTCTTCTGCCAATTCTAGTAGAAGGTCCATCAGGGCTTTGCATTTGATACCTGGAAATCCATTTTGAGATTAAGAACCTTAAGTATATTTTGGCAAGATTGAATTTGTGATGTAGTTTTCTTTTTGTATTTTTTTTTGTCAATTGTTATGTAGACAGTAGTAAAGTAGTAAAGATTACCTGTGCGTTGGCGTTGTGCTTCCCATTCTTCTCTGGGCAGGCTCTTCATTTGTTCTTTTTTCCTTTTAATGACCTGTAATTTTAATTAAAAGTAGCTATTAAGTGTCTTTTGCGTACCAAGTATGAAATTACTATTTCCATCACATATTAGGATAGAGATATCTGAATATTTTCGATGAACCATATCCACTGTAGCTATTTGTAATTGTTTTTTTCTGTGGGGCTGTAGTAGTAGTGTTATATGGAAGTTATAAAAAAGCATGAAATAGGTCATGTTTTCTTATCCAGATCAGTAAAAAAACTGGTTTGAAAATATACAGCATTGACTATCTTTCCAGAGGAAAATAAAATGTAGTTACGATGATAACTTACAGCAGTAGACATAGCATTGAGCACCTTGACCACTTCATCCTGTTTCTTCCTAAGCTCTGTGAAATTATAGATCAGGTCACTTTGCAGCCAAAAGTTGGAGAACCTCATTGCGATGATGTTCAGGATCTGGTCGACGGCTGCCATGTAGAGCTTGTTGAAGTCCTTGTCTTCGTCAGCTGTTATTCCGAAGGCGGTTACTGGAACAGTAAGCGGAAAATGTAGTAAATGAGCGTTAAGAAAAGATACGAGGATTTTGATTGAAAGTATCTCGTGATGAAATCTTTATTACACTAACTGTGCAGAAGATTTTTGTCTAACAATGATGTAAAAAATGAGTATTTTTTAAACCTTGCCCTTCACTAGGATTTTTTCCTGTATCGTCGGTGCATTTACAGACATACACATTCACATACACTATCCACCCAGACACGAAACAACAATTAATGGATCACAGTGTTGTTCCGTGTAAGAATCGAACCAGCGACATGTTGCACAGGCCAGTTTGCCCGGCCACTCCTTCAACCGTCCAGTCAACCTCAGGTTCAGGTTAGTCGTGCGCTATTCCAAAACACTTCCTATTTCCCCGACTTTGTATATGTTTTAAACTTAAAACAGGTAAGTACATATATACTATGGAAAAATGACCATCGTTTCCCCAAGGTTTTAATTATGAATCAAAACAAAAAGCGCGTTAAACGTTAGGAAAAATATTTAGTTTTTATTCCGCGAAATATTTTTTCTAACATTTAATGTCATAGATTTCCACAAAGTTACGACTGATTCTATAAATTAACATAAAGCGCGATGAACAACGGCAACGCTTACGCCATTAAAGTTGTTAGAGTTAGTTAAAATTCCTATTAAACATATCTTGGGTGGTAATTGGCAATCTATCTATAGAATCTATCGGTTTAGAGCTATACGAAAAAGACCAGGGAAACGAAGGATATACTTACAGCATACTGTCTCTAAAGCAATGTGTTTCAATGAAGCAAGATGGTCGAATTTCCCTCGGCCGACTTCTGCTTCGAAGTGGTTGACTTGGCGTCTGGCTTGGATGTTGAACACTCCTAGGAAACTGTGCAGGACTTGAAGACTGAATGCTGGGTTCAGGAGCTTGCGATGTCTTTTCCATGTGGGTCCTGTTGAACGAAATTTAAATTTATGCCTTATGTTGGAGTGTGTAAGGTCGTTTACAGTATTGCTTATTTTAATTTCTGCTCAAAGTTCGTGAGTACGTTAAGCGTTATGTTACATTTTTTAAAATAAAAAAATATTGATTACTTTTGTGATTGTCTTGTCATAAAGGGATACTTTCGATAGAGACAGGTCGTTCTCTATTAAACCTATTTTGAACAATTATATTATAAGTAAAAAAGTGTAGATATGTTACAAGCGCTCAGCAAGTGATACATTAAAATGTGGCTAATTAGCCACACTTTTTCATATTTGTCCTTTTTAATTGCGATTATTGTATCATGCCATCCCTCTTTAATGTGTACCATACGAATTATTTATGTCTGCATAAGTGTACCGTTTTTGAAAATCGAATGTTGTTTATGTAACCTATCTGTATCTACCATTTTACATAATATGTAAGTATATTATACTTAATATCATTGATTTTGAGCTGCTATCTCTGAATCTTTTGCAACTAGCCTTTTAAAAGTTTTCTGGCAATTCTTCAAGCGAATGGATGGATGTGGCGAGTTGTCGTCTTAGCCCACCGATGGTGATAATTTCTTTAATAATTTAATTTATTTATTTTAGTGTGTAGAATAACTTTGGTGCCTAAGTTGGTTCACGGTTAAAAGTTAATATACACATTAATGTTTTAATTGACTGGTATTTCCATAGATGCAGTGTACTAGATATAAAAAGCGGTAGGCTGTTAGGTATTTTGATTTTCCCACCCATTTGTTAAAATAATATTTAATTATACTTAGGTTATTCCAAAAGTCCGGGGAAATACGTGGATTTTGAATAGGTAAGTATTAAAATTTTTGATTATTGAACATACCAAAAATTAATTTTTTTTTACACGACCTTCGATTTTCCAACGCTTAATATCATAAGTGCACGAAATTTCCTTAACTTTTTTGATAGGTTATTATACGAACATTTTTTATGCGTTTTTTTTATTTAATCACTAAGGTACAACAGATAGTGACTTTAATTAGGAACACAACAACAAAAAAAAATGTTTTATAGAATTTAATTCATCGATTAAATTCAGACGAAATGTTTTGTAAATTTGCTTCTTTTAGCTTATTTTGTTATCATAACTTATCGTTAACGTTTGTCATAACCTACTTTGTTCGAACTAATGGCTTATGAATCGTTCAACAGTTGATAAAGAGATAAGGGTAGTAGGTGCCATTTGCTTAAAAATAACAAATTTACTTATCGATTCATTTTAATTTAAGTAATTTTTTCAATTTACAGACCTAAAAAGGTCATATTTTGAGCAAAAACGAATTTAATTTAGATCGATTTTATATTTATATTTATGTCAAAAATGTTAAGAGTTGAATTTTAATTAAAAACTAGAACGTACATACATATATTGAATATTTAATATATAGAACACGAATTTCGTCGATCTTATCCGTCTATCTAATCCGGTAGAAACAGAAATCAAAAATTATATTGAAGAAAAATGAATCAATTCAAGAATGTGTCCATATCCTAACTTTTATTATATAATACAAATAATACATCAATATTATATAATAAATATAATACATATAAATAGTATAATACAATTAAGTGTTTGGACAATTTCTTAAATAGGTTTTATAGTTTTTTTTAATACATTTTGAGTAAGTCGTTGTTTTTAATAAATATATATGTGCATTTGATGTAAAATGTGTATGTGTGTGTGTGTATGTATGTTTTGTGTCTCTTTCTTTCATGTTACTGGTAATGGTAATTACATAAATAGTACCTATTTTAAATTATGAAGCTGTAGAGTAATATAAGCAAGAAGCTTTATTTATTTCTTTGATGAAAACAGATAGTACTTAATAGAAAAAAAAAGAAAAAAGACATGTTAAAATCAGATAAATAAAAAAAAACTGTTAAAAAGATTTGTAATAGCGACCAACTAGTTTTTAACACAATGTTAAACATCTCGTTATTATTTATATTCAAAATGTATTTGCAATTCTCAATACCAGTATGGAATTATGCACAAAATCTTAAAGCAGCTATCAAATGAAAATATTGTAAATGTTTACGTTAAAAAAAAATGTAATCGTGACTACCAAGAAAACAAAGGAGTTTCTATGTTTTTCTCGGATGGTTATTTCTATCAATTTTTCGTTTACCAAAATTGTCATACAACCATGAAGTTTAGAATGGTGCTTAACCTATTTATGCGACGTCATCGCCTGGTCGCCTTCGTTCAAATCCTAAGTGAGTACCGGTATCCTCTCGTACCCACTTCATTCTGGGCCATAATTCCGATGCTTAGAGACTAACCTTAACCAGAGACAATAGAAGCACAATGATCACACACACACACACACACACACATTTGTACACTATACTATGAAGTAATAATCTCTTCTATTGTGTATCCCGATTGAAAGGTTACTTGAATTACACAGATAAATTGGGATATTCGTGAATGTGTTAGTGGATGATACACATAACATAATTTGAGAAAAGGGGATGTTACCTACATGTTTTGATGAGTATGTCTGAAAGATAACTAAAACCCCTTTTGGGGTAATTGTAATCAAGTCAAAGTTGTGGGTGTACAGCTTTATGCTGTTCCACGAACCGGCTAAAAGCAGGAGAAGAAAGTAGTGGTTTAATCAGTAGGTAAGTGTCTGATAATCAAAAACCCACACCCAAGGCAGAAGAAGTCGTTTGGTGGTAATCCCCAAAAGGCACTGATTGTAAAAACAATAAATTACCTGATGCCAAGACCAGTCCTTCTCCCATCCATGGTTTTCCGAAGTCGTAGGCGAAGTGTTTGTGCAAACACGCATTTGCTGCTGTCACGCTGTCTTCTGGGTCAGCAATTACTGGAATAGAAAAAAAAAAACAGCTTTAAATAAAATCTCTCTATTATGGTCAGTCGGTTTTACTAGTCCAGTCTACTACATAGAAGATATTATAGTGCGATAAGTATGTGCGCTTTCTTCTTTTTTGATATCTTAATCCTATAGGACGGAAGACCGATAGTTAATACCTTAGAGGTGAGCTGCAAGCCGGGGTTGCGGGGTAAGCGCAATGAGGCACCGCGTCCTCGGCCTAGAGCAGGAGTAGGAACAGGGGGGTTTTTAGTCAGTAAGAGTCTGACACTCCCTCCCGCCCGACCCTGGCGGGAGAAGTCATTTGATGATTTTCCCCTCACAAAAAAAGAGGTGAGATGCAGGACTAACAACGGTTTTACTTTACGTGCGTAGCGTGACAGGGGATGTAATGAATAAATAGTTCCTGTATTAAGAGCGTTAATTCGGGTTTGAATACATTCTTTCTAGTCCAAAAATGAAGGAAAGTGTTGTACTGATTTAAATGAAACTTGGTACACCATCGAAATATACCAAGGTCTAAACAAGTATAAAGTACATAATAGAAATTGGTAATGTGAATAGTTAGTACGTGTACCTATGTTTGTTTGAAAACTTTAAATTGCATCTCACTGTATTTCTAAACTCCTTTCAAATCGTAATCACCATATAGTATAAAACTAATTCGCTTTCTCTGTCCTTGTATGTTCTCACATATGGATATATGTGAGCTTATATCTTTAAAACTACGAAACGGATTTTGATGCGGTTTTTTTTATAGATAGAGTTATTGAAGAGGCATATGCTCGATTGTATATATGTTAAGGTTGAGGGTCACCAATAATAAACACCAATACCGAAGTTTATTACAAATAAATTAATGGCGTGTAAAAACTGGCGATGGCCGGCTAGCGTACGCGCCAAATAATAAAGACGATAGCGCGCGTACGGTCCTGTGGCTACGATGACTCTGACCGCACTTCACGATACCGAAAATGGTTTTCTCCGTCCGCAAGGTGTCGCTAGCGCGAGGTTCACATGGCGTGAACATCTATGAAATAGTATTTTAGTTTACATATTTAAGAATTTAAGTATCTGCGTTGCACCTCCGTTGTCTGTGAAGCTGGGTAGTTAATTATACATTATAGAAATTGTATACAATTATATACGTAGCGGTCGCCCGCGTATATGTAAATTTTATACTTTTTCAACACTTTTTGTTTTAATTTTCTCTACGTAGGTACTCTTCTTTGGACTTTCACGAATAATTCAATACCAAAATTAGTTAAAGCCAAATTAAGTAATAACATTACAACTAAAAGTGGCATATATTTTTATATAAGCTTCAATGATACAGTTTACATTGAAATCTATGCGCTTTAAATCTCTTAAGCTACATAGCCATAATTAACACCTAATAGCTTACCATTAAATGGCACCTAGTTCTTATAACCGCACGCGTAATTCTTGACCATAACCTACGACGATGCTAAGCTAACCGGATTGTTTTTTCTACTAGGCATTCTAGGCTTTAATGACTACAAAAAAACGTTAATAATAGCGTGCACGTTAGCCTAGCACTAAAATCTAGTTCTGGTCTAAAAAAAATCGACCAAACTCGATAAGTTCTACGAATTTCAAGTTACAACGGGACTCTTGTTCATGGGCAGTGTGCGCGTCGTGGCTGCGTCGAATCGGCTGCGCGATGTGCGCATTTTTCACTTTATTCAAGTGAGTAAGTAGTTATTTTCAAAAAGTTTTGGATTTCTCCCGTGTCGTGGTTTACAAATATACAATTTTACGTGCACATCTCACCTAGACAAGTGTGAGAGAGCCATGCTCTGGCTCGACCGGAGTGATACCGCGACCTCACAGAAAACCGGCGTGAAACAACCACAGCGTTGTGTTTTGCTGCGTGAGTGAGGTTACCGGTGGCCCAATCCTTCCCCTCCCCCAATCCCTCCTAAATCCCTAAATCTCCAAATCCCTAATCCCTAAAAAGTTGGCAACGCACTCGTAACTCCTCCGTTGCGGGTGTCCATCGGCGGCGTTGATTGCTAACCATCAGGTAATCCGTCTGCTCGTTTGCCGATCTATTACATAAAAAAAGACCCGGCATATAAATTTATGGTTTAAGGCAATCTGAGTGAAAGCTAAATGGTACGTTAATCCTACTTGACCCGAAAGAGGTCAAGTATACTTTTTTTTATGCTATAATCAGGAACAAAAAAGCTTACAACCTGGTTCATGGTCGACTGTCACCGTTCCTATGTATCTTAATGCAAGTTGCAACGCACGAAGTTTCAGAAGTATGTTACCAACTACCAAAGCAATAGTTTTTTTTTGAAGGAAAAATCATTAAATGACTTCTCCCGCCTAGGGCCGGGCGGGAGGGAGTGTCAGACTCTTACTGACTAAAAATCCCCCTGTTCCTTCTCCTGCTATGGGCCGAGGTCGCGGTGCCTCATTGCGCTTACCCCGCAACCCCGGCTGACCAAAGCAATAGTTGACGTCGTTTTTGAAGAACTAAAACTTACGACTTATAGCTTCCAGATTGACAGTATTACATGAAGGAAGACCGTCAGAAATGAGGCATGCGAACCAAAGAACAAGGGGATCACTACCTAAATATACTTTTCGTTGTAGATGGGGATTGAAAAAACTGTGGTGCAATTGTATTTTTGTTAAGAATAACGTTTATAAAATTCGTCCAACTAGACGACTGATAAGATTGTTTGCACCCATATATATGGATATGGAAGAAAATATCAATCAATGTTGATATCATCATCATCATCATCAGCACTGCTGAGCACATGCCTCTTTTGGAGAAGGTTTCAGTATTGATCACCACGCTTGCTCAAGGTCGGGCATCTCAAACATTTTTCTTTCACCCTATGTCAGTGGTGTCTAAAGTCTAAATAATCATAGAAAGGACATAATATATAACTCGGGAAAAGTCACATCGTTACTTGTAAGGTTTCGAACCCTTATGGTGAGAAACGGTCATGATTAAAAAGCAGCTTAAATTATAAAAAATATGTAGACAGAATATTTTAATTAAAATCAAATCCTAAAAACCATTATATAAACAAATCGAACCCTGATAATTATATAATACGTATGTAGGTATGCGGCATTAATAGTGTAACTTTTTAAAAACCTTGATCGTGGTCAAGTTCGTGTTTGTACTTAAAACTTCATTAATATTCGAATTATGTTAAATAAAACACAATAAAGATTATAATAAATAATATTCATGAATAATTTCTTTAATGTACAAAACGAGTTTTGTTTTCTATTCGTATGGTAATAATTGGGAAGGTAATTTTTATGATAAACTGTGTTTAAATTAATGTGACTAATCTGCTAAACTTGGGAGATTAATCTTTAATACAATACAATGTAATCATTCTTTGTTACACCTAAGACAAGGAAGGCCGCAAAAATCCATTCTCACGCCCGCGTCACCATTTAGCAAATGGGTGTGGTGTTCCTTAAATTCAAAAAGTTTTTATGCTGCAGGAGATAATATCTGTTATCTACAGAATAAATTCGATATTATATATATGGGAACATAAATTTCAAACGAATAAATACTCACGTTTCATTTTGTTTACATGGCGTGTCTTCATACTGTAACGTCATAAAAATTACGACCTATCTTTAATGTTTCTTTTTTATGAAGGGAAAATCATCCGATAGTTCTTCTTGCCCAGGGTAACACGAGAGGGAGTGTTAGACTGCCACTGACTAAAAACTCCCTGTTCCTTCTCCTGGTGTAGGTCGAGGCCGCGGTACCTTATTGCGTTAGGTTCATCAGCCCTGTAGGGCCCCGTCTGTGGTGGCTTAATGCTAATGCGTATTTTAATTTGGACTTAATTTGCTAGAAGAGTAAAGTTTTTTAAGTTTTACTATTCTAGCTACTAGCTACTTTACTCTTCTAGCTCCTTTACTTGTCTCTATTAGATGAAGACAGTGTGTTCTTGTATCCTTTTCGGGTAGCTTAGTCACTTCACTACATTACACTGACACTTTACTAGTAACTGCTCACATGAAGAAACTTTCGAAAATTTTCCAGTGTGTGAGTACCAAGTTTCATTAAAAGCGGTTCAGTAGTTTTCATGTTTTTTAACTTAAAAAAGATAACCCGTCCTATGTAAATGCTTATCAGATTTTTTCTAAGTGTAATTGAATACGTTGATTCTATAAGAGCGATTGTACAGCGTACAGCGCGTAGCGTTCTGAGCGCGCCTTAAAAGTATATAGGGCTGATGTTTGCCGTAATATGTTTAATATACCGCTACCCTGGCCTGGCAGGTGAAGATACGAGGAGGTATTTTGTTAGTATTCCCTTTCACCGCACCCAGGGCGATAGATCCTATTTTTTTTGGATTTGGCCTACTGTTTTAGGGATGAGAGGTATTTACCATACTAGGTTTGCAAACCAGGGCTTTGCTTCAAAGTTCGGCGCCCTGGTACGAGGTATAAAATAATTTCAAGTATTTTTATATCTGGTTTCCGATCCTGCTATGTTTACAATCTCGTACTTTCAAGCCCTGGTATTGACATTTGCAAGTACCTAGTTTTACTCCTACACTTTTTTATTGAGTTCTAGTTTTGTTTTGCCTGTGATGTGTCATTGGGCTATTATTACAATCATAGTACTAAAATTTTATTACTCACTGTAGTAGAGATCTTTTCCAATGAAGCCAGATATGACTCCTCCATTATCCAATGCTTGTTTAGCTAACTTCTGCACCATAGTCCATAGTCCTGGAAAGAAACAATACAATACCTTAGTAACGAACTCTGAGAACCACTGGACAGAATAAGATTCTGATTTAAGCATTCTAGACACAATAGAATCAAGTGTTACTTAAATTTTTATTTTACAAAATAAAAGTTCTACTGGAAGAACCATTTAATAAAAAAAAAGTATTTAAGTGCATCTAAAAATTGCTCATCGCTGTAGTGAGGTAGGGTGCCTAAAAGACTGGCAACATTGCAATTCTAAATGGCAATGCTAATGATTGATGTTAAATACAGGTCTGTATAAACGTTAGTTATTGTAAAATATTAATTTAAAAAAACTTTTTATTGTATTTTAGTGCGTTTCCGGCCTCTTAGGGAAGGTTTCGGATATTTAAGGAATGTGAAGGGATGGAGAGATAGGGAGGGATTGGGCCTCCGGTAACCTTACTCACAACGCTGTTGTTATTTCACGCCGGTTTTTTTAGGTCACTTCGGTCGAGCCGAACCATTCATGCCGAAGCTTAGCTCTCCCACACTTGCGAAACTAATTTTTAATTTAGGAATATGAGTTTTGTGACACCTCTTTTCGTTTTTTGTTATAGAAAGTAAACACGCGCCGCCCATGGACAGATGCAATACCAAAGGAACTGCAAGTGTATTGCCGCCCCTTTAGAGATTAGGGTTTTGGGGATTAGAGGTAGGGGAGGAATAAGCCATACTTTTACTTATTTTTATAACAAAGGTTGCCATTCGTGTAATCGAATACAAAATTTTGTTGTAAGTATTCGTTCTTGGGACAACCTTAACCAGACCAACGTGTTTAGAAAGACTCACATAAAGCCTGTTTTCATTTTTAAAGGTCACTGAATGAATACGCTTTTCGCCGATGTTAAAAAACAAATTTAAAATTCGAATTGTTAATGCCTTATGATAATGACAAGTTTATAAAAAAAAATTTGGTGGCTGTGCCTACTTCTTTCGAACAGATTTATTTGAATGGATTACAATATAGGCGTATAGGTAATAGTAAAGTTTTTTTTTAATCTTTATTTTATTAAAAGGGCTTTTTTTCCATACAGAAGAATTCAGCTCTATTATTGTGTACAAAATTCAGTTCTTACTTATCTACTTATTAAACCATTAATAGGTTTAGCTAGCTCTTAACTTTAAACATAAAATAATTAGACGATACAATGTTTTGGCCTCAGATGATAATGGTGACGCGTAATAATAAAGTTGAATTGAACTTAATTCATTCATCCTCTAAATAGGCAAAGAGCAAGCAAGGAGGTGAGTTATAAAATAATTTTATACTTGATTCATTGATTAACACCCGGTTTCTGAAAAGCTTGTCAACGCTAAAATTAACTAATCTCCTGTTAAATTCTCTTGTCAAGTCATCTGATTGGTTGTTGATGATTCAGTCAACCAATCAGATGACTTGACAAGAGATTAAATTGATTTTAACATTGAAAGTAGCTAGTAAGTTAATAAAAGCAAACATAAAAATAAACATCGTGATTTAACATTGTAAAAAAAGTTCAAAGATTAGTTAGAGTAGTACAGCAATACACCAAGTACAACGTCCCAAAACCACTGCAACTCCTGTAAGCCAGGATCTAAAGAAAACAAGTGTCAGAATTTCATTGACTAAAAACTACACCATTCCTTAATCTACTCTGAACCGGGGCCTCGATACATCAGTGCTAATGCATCCGCGATCGGTTGTTGACGTCAGTTTCGTCCGTGGAACTTGTAGTTCCATTATAAGGGATCATATAATTATACTTTAGACTTTATAAGCAGCAGGCTAGCAATAAATCTCATGTTTGTGTTGCTTTTTTCTCTCACCACCGTAGATACATATGTATGGTATATTTAATCCCATATTTAGTGCATATAACAGATTATCATTAAACTGATAGTAACCTTTGTTTATATAAATAACAGTAAGTAAAAAATATTCTAAACGCTTTAATAAAGATTTTCGAAATCGGTCACCAAGCAAGAAATGATAATAAAATTGTAACTGATGCATTCAAAATGTATATTAAAATAATAAGATCGACAGACTTAGTAACATTTAGGTTAAGAATAACGGTTTTGCATCTGCATCGTAGAATCTGTTAGAAAGTTACACAAAGAAATGAACTGTCCGAATTTATATTGTAAAATTTAGAGACTAAATTATTTAAAATGCTAAATAGAATAGAATGTCAAAGGATTTTTTTATGAACCCTGATTTTGTTTTACTGGTCCTCTCGCCCGTTAGTTCTTTGTCTTTAGCTTGGGGTTGCGGTAGATTTTAGCTCTTGATTCGTAACCTGAACATAAGCCCTGGGATCGTGAGCCAGTGGACCACCACAGGTGAGGCTCTATGTTAAGGGGCAAGCGCAATAAGGTAACATGACCTTAGCCTGGAGCACGTAATGGAACGGGAATGTTTTAGTCAGTATGAGTCTGACACTCCCTCTCGCCTCATTCTGGGCCAGAGAAATAACACTGTGCTTATTTATGCATGTTAAAGGTTTCCCAGTATTTTTCCTGTAATTTCCAAGGGCAATGCCTAGGAATCCATCAAAACATGCATCAACAATACCAACTTGTTGTTGATCATAGGGCTATAATTGTTATTTGTTACAGTGGTGACACAGGTCAACCAACATTTTAAAGATGAGTTCAAGAATGATTCAACAGATGGCGCTAACTAAAAACTACACAAAAGTTCCTACATCTCGTAAGTAAATGTAAACGTACAAACGTACTATGCACGGTTCAGGCGATGGCTGGGCAACCGACTGCTACGAAACGTTTCTCAGGATCGATTCCTTTTCTTATTGCTCTACACTTGGAATGTCTCCTGTGCCGTGGATGAGTTAACAGACGTGCAATTTTAGAAACACACACACAATTTAAGATCCGAAACTACTATTTGTGGATCTTATAAAGAGTTGTAATAATGTGATAGTTGAGTTTATAATTAACAGAGGCGAAAATTTTCAGATAAGGGCTACATTGTCTTGTATTATAAAATGGCAATTAGGCAGACAGATCGGCTGATGGTAAGCAATCAGTTCCGCCAATGGACAATAGCAAAACGACGAAGACAATACAGAGACGCGTTACCGTCCTCTGGAGTTTTTTAAAATACCAGAGAGAAATAGCATAGTAAAATCCACCCAAAGAAAGTACAAATATATGGCAGTATCTTAGTACAAGCGTGATCACCCAGCTTGGTAGAAGAATACTCCTTTTAAAGGAATCAGTGACCCTGATCATATGAACTCGTATTGACAAGTTCAAGGTTTATAGCCCGTGAACATAATTATTGTTAATAAAGCTTATTATTTAGTAGTTTTGTTTTGTATATTTAATCGCTATAATGGCGTTTTTTGTAAGGCTTTTTAAGACATTTTTCCGTCCAGTGTTAAGCATAATGTACAAGAAGGATTTATGTAGGTTAAAGGAATATCGTGCCGAGTGCCGAGTGTTAATTCTACAAATAAATTCTGAATTTATTTGTGTTAATATTTTATTTTAAATATGAATGAATAAATAAATAAATAAATTATACATTCTGCTCAGCTATTTGGTATGCATATCATTTGATTTATAACATAGGTTCAAAATGAATATTGATTTTGGATAGAGACTGAAGTTGGCTACAAAGCTGACCAATAGTCACAAATATTATTAGCTTCATCATGACAACAATAGCTACTGTCTTTGTTCTTTATAGAGGTTGGAAAATAATGTTCCTTCGTGAGACCCTTACTCTTCAAAAAAGACCTCCTTTCTTCTCCTGCTGCCATCCAAGGCCGCGGTATTTAATTGCCCCGCAACCTCGGCTGAACATGAGCCCTATTGGGCCCCCATATGTATATTGGGTGATCTGTCGGCTGAGGCACGCGCGAAGTTATAAAGCCTGAATAACCTGATGGGGCCCAAAAGGGCTTTGACGCTAAGTCAGATTTATTTTCTTTTCTGAGTAACAAATATCTTTGCTGACTGTAACACAGTGATAAGGGTTCTGAAGAAGGTAAAAGGTAGGTTAAAATTTCATCATAAACACTTGAAAGAGTCAAGAAGCGTTCTTTAAAAAAAATTATAAAAGTCAAAAAGTCAAAATCATTTATTCCAACTAAACCATAAATACAACCATAAATACTTAGGTACCTACTTTTGAAACGTCAAAAACAAAAAAAAAAAAATGATATTTTAGAACTTCTAACAAAACTAATGAAAGAACTTTGTAAAACTAACAAAAAAACAAATTAGCTGTAAGTTGCAGAACATAAAAGAAAAAAAATATGCAAAATAAAATTAGGTAATCAAATAAGCCTTAATACTACCTTATTGTTATCATACAATCCTCTCATAAACTCTTATTTCTAATAAATTTAAACTAACAAGTATTTCAAGGTCTTAATTATTTTTTTAAGTAATTTGGACCCGCATGAGCCACCCCCTTTATACTTCATAGCATAATGTTAGACGGTGTGAGATTTTGCAGGCACGAACGCTGAACAATATTTCTTTTATATATTTTAAAAATTACAAAAAAGTATTTATTACTTATAGAAATATAATGAAAACGAACAGACGGATCACCTAATGCTAAACGATCAGTACCGCCCTTGGACACCCGCAACACCAAAGGAGCCAACAGAAAAACAGTGTGTGTTTAATAAGGAGTATATATAAATATATAACATTATTATCCAACAACTCTTTGTTCATAATATTGAATTTTTTTTTTCTAAAATTTAAAATTAGAACAATAAAAAATGTTTTTTTGTCTCAAAACAATAAGAATAAATTTATAAATGAGACAATCCCAGTAAGTAATTAAAAATAAGTGTGTTGGGGCAAAAAAAAAAATTGAATACCGAACATGGAACTTCTTTTTTTAAACGTAGTTAGAACATAAACCGCGTCTGCGGGTGCAAGCGCACTAATGTAACGCTTCCGGAAGCAGAAGAAGGATCGGGGTAGTTATTAGTCAGAAAGAGTCTCTCTCCCCTTTTCCTCTCGCTTCAATGCAGGAGAAAATTAAGGATTTTTTCCCGTCAAAAATAAATCGAAACACAAAGGAGGAAAGTCTAGAATTAAAAGCATGTTCAAAACTTATCCGTTTTGATATATGTACGGTACGTAGGAAAAATATTTGAAAGAATAATTTCTTTCAAATCAGAAAAAGTATTTATAATAATAATTGTATATAGACTTACGGGTTGTATTTCCAATAAGTAAATGGGCGTGGCCGATGATGGGTAATACTCCAGGGTACATAGGGGGTAGTTTATAACTCTTCAACCGACGATAATTAGATTCCCATTGATACCACGCATACAAGAAACACGACACAGCACACAAAATCAACGCCAACATTTTAGAAAAAATTCAAAAAAATATTTTTTTAAACTTTATAAATTATTCCTAATTCAACATTAAATATAATGAGTTCTTATTATATGCACTGTATTTATGGTGTATTTTTTTAATTTTATTAATAAGAGGACTGTTCAGTTGGAAGGGATATTTAAGAATGTTGGATTTTTGAATGGGGTAGAAATAAATGCGGAATTAGAACCGGTTTCAAAATCACGACTGTGATACGTAGAACAAAGTCTCAAAAATGTACAGTCTGGTACAATGTTATTCAAAAATTTAAAAACTAGTTTACGAGCGTAGCTGTTTTATGTGAGCGTAGGTTTTGACACGAAGTCGACCTGCTGTATCGAGCTTTTTGTTCAAATCTTAGAATCTGAATTACAAATAAATTCTCATTCTTGTATTATCGAGAAACTTAGCAGTTGGGTAATTTTCTTAGTAAATGAAAAAAATCAAATATTTTAAGTTTTCAAAACAATCACTCTTTAATTAATCGGTAATTTTATACCTACTTAGTATTTTTTATATTTTTCTACCCAATTTCAGAGGACCATTACCAAAAAATCGAAAGAGTTTCTAGATCCCAATTTTAGAATCTACTAAAATTTTCTTTCATAAGAACCTTCTCTTATTTATATCAAACACAACACAAAAGAATACGCAGAATTGATTCAGGAGTTGTTGAGTTATGCGCTTACCAACACATTTTGATCCGTGCATTGCCTATTAGTCAACTTAAGTGTGGGAGAGCCATGCTTCTGGAGTGCTACCAGGGCTTCACATAAAACCGGCGTGAAGCAACGTGCCAGTGAAGTTACCAGAGGCCCAATCCTTCCCCTCTCCCAATCCCTAAATCTCCTAACCCCTATTCCCCAAAAAGTCGGCAACGCACTTGTAACTATTAGGTATTATGTTGCGGGTGTCCATGGGCGACGCATTGCTTACCATCAGGTCATCCGTATGCTCATTTGCCAACATATTACATAAAAAAACCAAAAAATAAAAATGCGAAAACGTATTGAATTTGAACGAATTAAACAGGCCCATTTCTTCCAATGACGAGGAAATAAATATGGTTGATAGCGTGTTTCAGTCATAGAATAACGCGCAACAGTTTGCCGCGTCCTTGGCCTGGAACAGCAGAAAGAATGTAGTGGTTTCTAGTCAGAATGACGCTTCCTCTCGCCCCACTTAGGACGGAAGAAGACGAAGGAAGAATGAAGATGGTTTTCTCCCCTCAAAAAAGTAAAAAAAAAACATTAGTTCGTTTCAAAGTTGTTGAACTAACTTACATGTAAGGTGAATTATTTTAATAATCCAAACTACATACTAATATTATAAATGTGAAAGCAATTCTGTCTGTCTGTCTTTTCTTCACGCCTAAACTACTGAACCTATTTGTGTGAAATTTGGTACAGACATAGGTTGGAACTCGAAGGATATAGGATAGGTTTTAAACCAAAAATCTGCAGGAAGTCACTATTATACACGCGTACAAAGTCGCGGGCAAAAGCTAGTTTATAATAAGTTTTGTTTTTCTGAAATTGATTCTAGCGTGATATCGTTTAAATCCGTATTATGTAAGCGACTGTACTTTCCCACTTACCAATTTATATTTAAAAAAGTTTAATGACTAATCTAGACAAACTAGTTGCATTATGTTTTTTACGTTTGCGTATGCACTATACCTATATATACGAAGACACAGATGTATATATGTATATGATGTATGCATAATTAGTATTATTTTGTATCTATTATATATTTATAAAAGATATATATTTGAAATAGACACAGCATAATATTAATAATGCATGCATGTACTTTGTTCACAAACACGCACAGGATACATCTATTTCACGGAAAAGCATTTATTGGAAAAAGAAGTATTATATAAAAAAATAAAACATTTAATTATTAAAGTCAAAGGTTGTGCTAGTGATGAAAATGTTTGCTTAATACATAATTTCAGGTCATATTTATGAGTAAAAGTATTTATTTATTTACTTACATCACTAGCAACTACTATGCTAGATACGATATAATCCAAGTCGACAGTCTAGCCATCAGTCTTGGGTTGCGGGGTAAGCGCAATGTGGCATCGTGGCGTCGGCCCAAAACAGTAGAAGGGACGGGGGTTATTAGTCAGTAAGAGTCTAACTCTCTCTCTCGCCTTACCCTAGGCGGGCAAAGTCATTAGATGATTTCCCCCTAACAATAAAAGAGCCATCAGTCTTACAAAATAAAAAAGTAAGAACTTATAAGCTAATTATTTTTAATATCAACATAAAGGCTCAAAAGGCCCTGCTCAGTAGGCTTATCAGTTTTGTAACATATGAAGTTCTGTGAGCCTACTGAGTAGAACATATCGGATCTCTCATCAGTTATTCTTAGGACGCAATTTAGGTGAAAGAGGAAATGCTTTAGCGATAAAGTTGTAAATAAAGCGGAACGTGCCCAGTACTTGCGCATGAATGTTTCCATACCAATATCAAGTATATTGTGTAGAAGACTGTTATATCAGTGACTGAAATACGGTAAAAAAAATAACTGTCTAGCTATTCCGGTTTATAAGGCATGTCCTGGTGACAGAGCGACAGACAAGCACATCGACGGACAGATGAACAGCAGAGTCTTAATAATAGAATTCTATATTTTAACGTTTTAAGTACAAAATCTTCAAAAAATACTTAGAAGATTATCAAAAGAGGACGGCTAGATCGGAATGATACCACGGCCGCACAGAAAAGACATGAAATAACCACAGCGTCGTGTTTCGCCGTGTGAGTGAGGTTACCGGAGGCCCAATCCTTCCCCTCCCCCGATCCCTCTTAATCCCTAAATCTCCAAAACCCTAATCCCAAAAAGGTCGGCAACGCACTCGTTACTCATCCGTTGCGGGTGTCCATGGGCGGCGCTGATTACTTATCATAATAATCCGTCTGCTCGTTTGCCGACAAATTCCATAAAAAAAGGAATATTGAGCAATGGTCGAGGTGATGGTGAATGATCTCTCTATACAGATTTTAGGGATTTTCTTCTGAATGACGATTTGGACGCAGCAATCAGGATTAAATTGAGCAAAATTCTACAAGAAACAAAAAAAACAGTATTACCTGAAGTGAAGTCTGTTTGCCCCTAAACAGAGTAAGGCCTATATTTTGCACACTATAAGGCATTACCTAAAGTTAACCAATTGGTGCCGCTCATGGACACCCGAACCACCAAAGAAGTTGCAATTGCGATGCCAGATTTTTCGAGGTAAGAGCTATAAGGGATTAAGGTATTGGGTAGGGTAGAGAAGGATTGGACTTCTAGTAACCTCACACATACAGCAAAACACATCGCTGTAGATATTTCACGCCAGGTATCGGTGAGGCTCTGGAAATCCTCATATCCAACATCACCCACACTTCAAAATACAGCTACGCTTTACTCTTGATAGATTAGTCGTTGCTGTCATATTATAGGCGCAGAGTAGCCAGCCTTGCGGTGTTCTACAGGATGCATTTTGGAGAGTGTGCGCAGGAATTGCACGATTTGATTCCGCCATCCCCATTTCACCTTCGGACATCCCGGCGTACGGCAAGTATCCACCCTTACGTTGTTGAGACACCTGCGGTCCGGACTAAGCGCTTTGCCTCGTCATTTATACCGCGTACATCGAGGGATTGGAACAGTTTTCCGGCTGCAGTCTTTCCGTCCAAATATAATTTAGGTGTCTTCAAGGCTAGAGTGAATAGGCTCTTAATAAACTTGTGCGCCTTACCATCAACGATTGCATCACTGCTTACCATCAGGTAGGATCGCAGTCAAGCACTAGATTATAGAAAGTAAAAAAAAAAAATATTGTGGCGAAAAAGGTAACCAACATGCGCTTTGCAATATGTGTACATTGCCCCTGTTTAAAGTCCTACTGTCTTCGTTTAGTGATCCGAAAACTGCAGACTTTATGAGATCGATCCATTTTTTTTTAAATAAAGGAAGAAAGAAAGAAAAATGCATTTAATCAGCACTAGACATGAAAGGCGGCAACAAAACAAAAAAAAAATACAACACAAAAAACAATTAAAAGGTAAAAAAAGACAGAAAAACAAAAATACGCAAAATAATAATACTCGGTAAAATTGGTTAATAATAATATAATCTTTGAGTGCGAGTGCCCTAGTCAAGCACAGTAAAGCCTCACTCTGGCACTCCTTCTCACCATACCATAGGCGAAGAAGTCATGTGATGGTTTTCTCCGTTATCTCTCCTCGAATCGTGTCCAAGGAATGTGAGGAGTAAAACAAGTCGTTGTAGTATTGACACGTTCCTCAGAGACCGTTCGAAGTAGACCAAGGATTATTTTCTAGAATTTGTTATTTTACGAATGTCCACGTTCAGTGATTTTCAATAGATGTGATATCTTTGTGACGTTAAGTGTAGTTTCACCAAAAAATACTAGAGTTTTGTAGGTATAATTATATGGTAAACAAGAAGACTGCCAAACGATTATTTATTACATCATCGCTCGGAAAGCGACGACTTTTTGCAAGTTTTTGATCAAGAAAACTGTAGTTTTTGCGTCTTTGTAATAACCTACTAGTAGGTAGTAATCAAAATGTACGATGAACCTGTCCTGTATGGTGAGAAACAAAGTGATTTTAATTATAGGAAAATATGTAAATATATCAAGGTGGCTTGATCGCCTACGATCACAGCAATGTTATCAAACCAGTTAAATTGACAAAAAACTCGACTAGTACATAACGCTATAAAAAAAATCGTTTGTTTTTTACCTTTTGTATTTTCATACCTTCCGCACGTGACTTATATGGAACTACCTTTGATTTAGTGGTTAAGCTTAGTTTTCCGAGGTCGAGTTTTGGATGGGTGTGTCAACGATCACATTTTTTATGTACTAGCGACCTGCTTTAGCTTAATCAATCACTTTACCAACTGAAAAAAAGCATCAAAATTCGTGACATAGTTAAAGATAGGAATATACATAGGACCATAGAAAGTGATTTTCTTGTAAACTATTTAGTGTGTC